ATATTGTACGCTCTAATATTTCGCAAAAAATGGCGACTCGTCATATTGGAATTAGCATGCAATTGAAGCAATGTATCCGGAGCAGTTTTTAACTCCAACATTTAATAAACGTAAGTTAAAAAAGATGCAAACACTTAAAGCTGTAACTCCAACAAAAAAAATGTCTATGCAAGAGTTTGTCAAATAAACATCATGTTCCAAGACGCAAAATAACACTCTTCAGTCACAGCAGCCCAATCTACACCGTACTCTCATCTGCCTCTGCATCAAATCTATTTTAAAAAATAAATTATCACTGTTTTCACTTCGCGTAAGAAAAAATACATATAAACACAAATGAATTTTAAATAAAAATATAAGAACCACAGAACGAAACTCATTTTCAAGCTTTATTTTCTTTGTCGGCCGAACAACTGAAAATTTAAATTCTCCAGCAATGGAATCATGAGAAGTGAGCACATGTGTCAACATCGTCAGAGAGACATCACTAACGTCAGCACTGTCACAGGTCTGACTTTTAACATCCTGTGTTTTTTTTCATATAAAAAAGGTAAGTCAAATATGTATTTATATATTTTTAATAACATGAATCTAAATCGAATTCATAGCTCACCGCAGCCTTTTCCAGTTCCGACGAAACAACTTCATTTTCGCGTGCATTATCGAAATTTGCTTCATCCTGTGATAGACAACAACCAACAACAGTAAATATAATGTATAAGAAAAATAGTTATCTAAAAGAAATATATAAGCAGCATACATTTGGATCTATAAGAGACTTAATGAACGCTGAGATTATGTCTTCGCTGATACAAATTTTGGAAACTTGATATTTGGGCTCACTATTTGTGTTCAAATCCTTTTGCTTAACATTTATCTTGAACAACATTGACTTTTCATTCAGAACATTTAACTCATTTGGAAATTGATCCAAATCGGCACCCTAAAAAAAATGAAAAAGGAAAAAAAATTATTCTAAAAAAAAAAGAACAGAACATAGACAGCGCAAACAGAGAGCACAAAACGACAAAAAATACATTTTAACCATAACACAGCAATTAAAAAACAAACCCTCTTGAAATGCAGCTCGCGCAATTCAACAGCACTCATTCTCAACAAAGACACACAGTCGCGATCAAACAGAATAAAGGATGCGGAATCTGTGTTATCCACAACTCTGACGTGAACACTAAATCTGGAGTTTTGCAAAATTGTATATCAGCAACGTACATGAATGATACAGATTAAAGACAGGTTATAAACTAAGAAGAATATTTTACCTCGGATAATAATCTTCCCAATGTTTTTGGCAGTTCTTACAATACCACTTCTCAAAATCCTCATAAACGAAAAATGGACACTTTTTGCATGACTTGTACCACCAGTTGTATTTCCTCTCAATTGCCTTTATAGTCCCGTATGTGATGCAGGTAGTTACCTTAATTAAAGCAATCGCAGTTTAACATAAAATATCATCAATACAAAATTGACAGAATTAAAGGAAAGTAAAAATTAAAGAAAAGTAAAAATAAAATTTGAACATTTACCTCAACACAAAGTTTCACATCACTGATAGACTTTTTTTCAGTCTCCTTAAGAAAATCATTTTCGAAAGAATAGGATGACTGAGTAGACAATTGAGTCATCCTTGTACTACTTTCCACACCATCAATCGAGAGACTATAACGCAAAAATTAATAATTAAAAGATCAAAAAAATATGAAAATCCATTAATCAATAACCGAATAAATGAGCTGAAGAAAGAAGGTACACACCATTTTTTGAACTCAACAATCTCATTCATTTTTGAATCCATTACAATCCTTGTTGTATATTTTGTATTTGTTATCCCGACCTTACCTATTGAGTTAAAAGGTTCAGATAAACATTGAATACAGAAGCAAACTTAATTAAAATAACGTGCATAAAAACTGATTATAAAAGCAAAAATTAAAACAACGTTGTTTGGAAAAAACATACCTCTAAAACACTTAATCCTTCCCAGTTGGACTATCAGGACGTTATGAGGATCGTCGTTGTCTGCCAAAAAAGATTGGACCTCATCCACATAATGCTCCCACAAAGTGCACTCCAACTTATGACCCCTACACGTGAGTTACAGCAAGCACAACGTTAATACGCGTAAAATATAAGCTAACAGAGCTGGACAAAAATAATTCATTTAACTAAACATTTGTAAGTACCTCAGGTCGTCAAGCTCCAACACCACCATTTTTGTCTTCCTACCAGAAACCACACGATCACAAACTTTCCCAATTCCTGAGATTAAACCAATGACGTCTACAACAAAAAAAAAACGCAGCAAAGAGTTTGTGAAAAAAATTATGCAATAATAAAAAACGAATACAGAAACATAAAAAACACAGTTAATGAAAAAAATAATGATACAGAATAAGATTACTCGTGACAAAACATTAAAAACACAAAACTATAACCGCAAAGAGTTTAAAAATAAGGAAATAGTCATGATACAGAATAAACCAATGACGTTTAAAAATTAAAAAAAGGCAGCAAAGAGTATGGGAAAAAAATAAAACCCGCAATAATTAAAAAAAGGATAACAGTGAGGAAGAATCTATTACCGACTAAATAAGGGGAGTCAGACGTTTCTTTCTCAATGATGTTATAATCAACAAAATCAAAATCACTCGCACAAATATCAGAAACAACAATCGATTTAACATCAGTCCTCAAGTTGAAAGACAAACGATACTGATGCTTGGTTGGCCTAAACACATTGCTATTGAATCCAACTCCAATTTTTTTTATAAAATAGCACTCTCTTTCGTTGATTTTATTCCGCACCTGCAAGGTACCTTTGACAGTGGCGTGGATCCTACCACCCTACAAAAGAATGGAGCCAACTTATGTCAACAACGTTAACTAAAATGATCAAAACAAAGATGGAAGATTTTTAAAACACAGAACACAACCTGTTCATCCAATAAAACCATTTCAAGATTGTCCTCCAAATTTTTACGCTGAAAGTTAGGAACTTTCCAAGTTCGAACCACCTTCACCTTAATCCTCCAGTCCTCCTTGGCAGGATTAACATCCTTCAGAAAATCATATTTTGAACTCATATTTTGTGTAAGAAGAAAAAACAGAGAAGCAATCACCGACGTTGAAGAATAATGCGTATCAGGAATTGTATAAATGAGAGTGATTTATAGTTTTGAATTGTCTTCTTTAAAAAATGTGAAGTTTTTGAATTAAACTGAATAAAGATTTAAAAAACAAAGATAACGACAAAAGAGTGATTCAGTAGTTATAAATGAGATTTTCATGGAATAAAACAGTCATTTGTTTTAATAACAATGAATATCCCTTTTTTTTTTCAAAAAACGTAAAGATTTGAATTAAACTCAATAAAGGTTAAAAAAACCGATTAGATTACATGATAACCATCAATTATTTAAAAAACAAAGATGACGACAAAAGAGTGATTCAGTAGTTATAAATGAGATTTTCATGGAATAAAACAGAAGTTTTTTCTAATAACAAAACACTCATACCTGATTCCACTAAATCAAGAGGTTAATAAAATATTCAAATTTAAAAATCTGAAAATAAGGAACAAAGGTTGGGATATGTATAATTTTTTTTTTTACTAATTAATTTTTTTCCGAGTAAATAGAATTGTATTTTTTAAAAAATGTGAAGTTTTTGAATTAAACTGAATAAAGATTTAAAAAACAAAGATAACGACAAAGAGTGATTTAGTAGTTATAAATCAATGAATATCCCGTTTTTTTAACAGTCATTTCATGGAATAAAACAGTCATTGGTTTTAATAACAATGAATATCCTGTTTTTTTTTTTTTCAAAAAACGTAAAGATTTGAATTAAACTGAATAAAGGTTAAAAAAAAGATTAGATTACATGATCAACATCAATTATTTAAAAAACAAAGATGACGACAAAAGAGTGATTCAGTAGTTATAAATGAGATTTTCATGGAATAAAACAGTCATTTGTTTTAATAACAATGAATATCCCATTTTTTTTTCAAAAAACGTAAAGATTTGAATTAAACTGAATAAAGGTTAAAAAAAACGATTAGATTACATGATCAACATCAATTATTTAAAAATCAAAGATGACGACAAAAGAGTGATTTAGTAGTTATAAATGAGATTTTCATGGAATAAAACAGAAGTTTTTTCTAATAACAAAACACTCATACCTGATTCCACTGAATCAAGAGGTTAATAAAATATTCAAATTTAAAAATCTGAAAATAAAGAACAAAGGTCGGGATATGTATAATTATTTTTTTTACTAATTAATTTTTTTTCGAGTAAATAGAATTGTATTCTTTAAAAAATGTGAAGTTTTTGAATTAAACTGAATAAAGATTTAAAAAACAAAGATAACGACAAAGAGTGATTAAGTAGTTATAAATCAATGAATATCTCTTTTTTTAACAGTCATTTCATGGAATAAAACAGTCATTTGTTTTAATAACAATGAATATCCTATTTTTTTTCAAAAAACGTAAAGATTTGAATTAAACTGAATAAAGGTTAAAAAACGATTAGATTACATGATCAACATCAATTATTTAAAAAACAAAGATGACGACAAAGAGTGATTTAGTAGTTATAAATCAATGAATAAACAATCTTGACCATTGATTTAAAGTAACAAATCCTGTCAATTGAAAATATAATTCTTTTTCGTATTTATTATATTCACCGATTTACCATTAAAGAAAACTTTTTTAAATATTGTTGTGTGAACACATTGGTAAAATTGAACCACAGTACGACACGTCAGCAAGGTTTCCACATAACGAAATTCCTTTATAATATAAGATTTTTCCACTTCCAAGTACGAACCCTTTTTAGTAAACCATAACCCAATAAATCTTAACCTCGGATACACGGAAATCAATAGTAAAAATTGATCCTATCCTTTTTATTATATTTTTATATCCTTAAGATTTAATACGATCAAAAAAATCGACCAAACGATATTGCAATTCAAAAAGCTTGGTGTGGTTTGATTGGGGCACTGGTTTCCCTATTGAGTTGTTCGCTAATTCTCAAGTCTTTTAAGTAAATCTGGGGACTCGAAATCGTGTGCTTTCTTTCAGTTTGGTCGAGTCGGGTGTATTTGAGGCAGCATCAGGGGACTCGAAAACGACAACAACTTTGTCAAGAAACCTGCGACACCATGAGACCTCGGAAAACATCGATCCACGCCATCGCCGCATGGGTGAGGCGACAACCCCCAAAGGTGAAGGCTTTTCTCGCCGTAGTTTCCGGCATGGCGGCTCTCGTCCTTCTTCGCTTCATTGTTCACGATCACGACAACCTCTTCGTCGCAGCTGAGGCTGTCCACTCCCTCGGAATTTCCGTCCTCATCTATAAGCTCATGAAGGAGAAGACTTGTGCCGGTAATTCATTCTTTTGCGTCCAATTCACTGCACTGTGATTCCAAATATTTGTTTAATTTTTAAATGAAAATTTTGTTATATTGATTGATCGGCTATTCATCTTGTGTTTGTTTTCATTGACCTTCCTGGTTTTTGTTAATTGGGTAGGCTCAAAGTTTCTCCTTTTCAATTATTTGAACAGTAAATTTAATTAATGCTTAGTTGGAAGGCACGGAAATCAGAATAAATAAATATATGGGGAAGGAAAAAGGTCAATTTTTTGGGATTAGTTTCTTCAGATTTTAATCCGTTTAGATTTTCTTAACAAAAATTAGGATTTTGTGAAGATTGTTATTTTCTTGTATGTTTCCCAAATTTTAGTCCCCACTTCTTCTTGAGCGTCAATCAGGTTGGCATTGTTTTGGGTGATTTGATTTGTGTGTTTGTGCGCATACATATCAGTTTCCATATTCTTTTTATTTTGCTCATGGTTTTTGAATGATGTGTATACAGGCTTATCACTCAAATCCCAGGAGCTAACAGCTATGTTTTTAGCTGTTAGGCTGTACTGCAGTTTTGTCATGGAATATGACATACACACCCTACTTGATTTATCTACTTTCGCAACAACACTGTGGGTTATTTACATGATTCGTTTTAAACTGAAGGCTAGTTACATGGAGGAGAAGGATAACTTTGCAATATACTATGTGGTAAGCTCCGGTGCTTACCTTGTGCCATTTACCTTTGCAGTTTTTATTTATTCCTCTTCATAAATTCATGATTTTGTCACTTAGTGCTTGTAACTTGTGCATATTACCTTACATCAGAATCAGCTTGAGCCTTGATGTAGTACTCTACTTTTGAAATCGAATGCAGGTGATACCTTGTGCCGTGTTAGCCTTGCTTATTCATCCATCAACTTCTCATCATATATTGAACAGGATTTTTTGGGGATTCTGTGTATACCTGGAAGCTGTTTCAGTGCTACCCCAACTGCGGGTTATGCAAAACACCAAAGTATAATTTCTTAACTTAAGCATTTTACGTATGAGTTCTGATTCTATCGCTCTCGTATGAACATGTTTCATTTTTTACTTTCAGATTGTTGAGCCATTCACAGCTCATTATGTATTTGCTCTGGGTGTCGCAAGATTCTTGAGCTGTGCTCATTGGGTTCTTCAGGTCTGTTCATAAAACTTCTAATTGCTTTAGTCAGTTATGTGATTCATTTGCAAATTTGGTGGTCACTTGTTTTCTGGCATGTGCTGGTAATCAGTATCACTAAGATGACATATATTGGAATGGCTTTCTTGTTGATCAAAGAGGGAAATGTTAACAGTATTTTATAAATTTGAGTTTCTCTTTCATTTTGCATTTGTACAACTAAGCCATCTTTCCTCTAGTAGAACTTTTACAGGGGGTTGTGTTTTGCGTGTATCTGATTTTCCTTTAGAATGTTTGTGTGTTCTGACATTCTAAATTAAGTTCCATCATAATTGATAGTCAACCGGCTACAAGATTGCTGCTGTTCTTAGCACATTTCTTTAGTTGTCTATTACTGGACTTTCTAACTTTAGGTCTCCTACTAACTTTCTATTTCTTGCAACAGGTGTTAGATACCCGTGGACATTTGTTGGTTGCCTTGGGATATGGTTTATGGCCGTCAATGGTTCTTATCTCAGAAATTGTCCAGACCTTCATCTTAGCAGATTTCTGTTACTATTATGTCAAAAGGTTGGTTTATTACATAACATAGTTCTTTCTTTCCCCTTGTCCCCGCATTTAATTTTCAGCTTTTTCTGAGAGTTTCTCAAGATCCTTTTTGAATAACTCTTATCCAGCTGTTCTTATGATATTTATTTAACTGCAGTGTTTTCGGGGGACAGCTTGTGCTACGTCTTCCCTCTGGTGTGGTGTGATTGAAGATCTGCTCTGGTGCACTCTCACATTTAAATTTAACTTAATCAGGCATTATGGTCGGTTACCCGTGTTAGAGTACATTGTGTGTTGACACACTTGTTTGGTTCCTTGGTGGAAGCTGGTTCTGTGTAAAGTTGGGAATGAAGGAAAACTAGATATATTTATGTTTGAAGGACGGTATTTATAGTTGGAAAAAGTCTTTATTTACTTATTGACAAAAAAAAAGTATATTAGTTTCTTAGGCTATTGGAATTCAGTTCTTGTTATAGCTTTTAACTTATTCACGTGCTCTCAAGTTCTACGGAAAGTTTTAGATAACGTTTGGTGCGGAAATAGAAAAAAAGAGAGAGAATGAAATAGGACGAATGGAACAAAAATGTTTCGTTCTTATCTCCTTGGTTTTAAATAGAACAAAATAGAATGGAACATCCTTACTGATCTACGGAAATGGTTGCATTCATTTTCCGAATTCTCTCCTTTTGAGGCCTTCCTAGGTATTAATTTCTGGTGCAGCAACATAAAAGAAAGTAAAACAAAGAGCGGAGCCATATTTGTGTCTGAATGCTCATGTAAATTGACACTACACGAGTCAAGAGACCTATAATATAATGTAGTAAGCGGTTGGCACAACGCCAAACTTAGACATGGACATTACCGCAGTGATTAATTAAGATGGTTTTAAAGGAATTAATGTTTTGGGTTTGATTAGTTTTTTCCCAAAACAGCTATTCAGTTAAAAATTCTTTCTGCAACATATTAATGGAAAATAAACTACCAAAACTTACAAAATCGTCACGCACAAACTAGTCTAAACTTGCACAAACTTGGTTTTCAAAAAAAGTAACTCCTTAATCAATTCTTTTGACGCTGCCTTGGAGAAAAGTGAAAACTTTGTTCTTTTCTTATGTAATTGTTCTAATTGAATGCATCAGAAAGATTGAAATCCCATTCAGGTCAGTTTTAAAATATTGTCTACTGCTTCAACCCAAGTTTTCACTGTAACCCTCAACCTCTCGATTGAATCATCTTAGCTTTATATCAAATTTGACCCTTATGTTCGTTGTGTAGCATCCCAATATTTTCATTACTTGAATATGTATCACATGCTTGACATCCCGTCTATAATTGTTCATTTTGGGGTTTTATAAAGGAAAGATGCTGATAGATTTGCGATTCATTGTATGAGCATAGGAGAGAGCCATCACAAAGTTGCTTTGAAAGGATTTTGTGGTTAAAAAGCTTTCTTCTTTTTATCATTAAATTCCTGAATTTGCTTTTAATAGTGATGTATTACATAAACACATCCTATGGTGATAATAATAATAATAATAATGATGATAATAAACCTCACATTCATTTGTTGAGAGTTCAAGCACACAGGTTCCTGGCTAGAATTCCCTCAAAAGTAATCCCAGGTCCAAAAGCAAGTATCAAACCCCATTCAGGATCTTCTCCTCCATCCTTTTTTATCTTGAGACTCTCTTCTATCATATACTCCAGCACATAGACAATGGTATTACTGCTAGCGTTTCCATAATCCATGAGAGCTCTTCTACTTGCATTCAGCTTCTCTGGAAACAAATCAAGCCTCTTCTCCATGCGATTCAAGATTGCAGGTCCCCCTGGATGGACAGCCCAAAAGAGCTTGTTGTACTCCTTGTTCTGGAACCCAACAACACCCATTAACTTGTTACAGAATTCCTCAACGTTGTCTTCAATTATTTGAGGAAGTTCCCTTGCTAACTTGAAGCTTATCCCCTCCTCTGTCAGCCTCCCATCAATTTTCTTCTCAGTGTCTGGCAAAAATTCCTGAATTGCCGTGTGAAGCTCAAAGAGAGGCTTCTCAGTTTCCAATATTGGGTCTGAGCCAATTATCATGGCACCAGCACCATCCCCAAAGAGTGCCACCCCAACAAGATCATAGGGTCTATCTGCATTTGGTGGCTTGAACCCAATAATTGTAGTTTCAGAAGTAGCAAGCAGCACTCGGCTTCCTGGGTTGTTCTCAGCTATGTCTTTTGCAACCCTTAGGCCAGCCACACCTCCAGAGCAGCCAACAAAATAGAGCATGATTCGTTGAGTATTAGGGCTGAGTCCTAGTCCTCTGGCTAGGTATAGGTCACCACCAGGTAGTCTAGCTTCACTGGATGAGACATAAACCAAGTGGGTTATGTCTGATAAAGATCCACCCCAGTTCTTGATGCAAACTTGGGAAGCTTCAATTGCCATTTGTGTCACTGCCTTGTTACATATCTCCAGCCTTTGCTTTACAGTTGGAAGGCCTTCCACAGCAAGTTCCGGGTACTTTTTAAGTATCTCCTCAGACATAACCACATACCTTGTTTTCACTGTGGTTGTCTTGCCTGTTTGTTTGTTTATACCATATAAAAGCCAAAGTGAGAGTGGATATTCATTCAATGTTAAGACAGAAAAAGGGGTGAATGGGAGAAGTTTATGTACTTACAAAGTCTAGTGAGCTTCTGCTTGAGTTCAGGATTGTCACAGTTAGTGTCCCTGAAATATCCATCAACTAAATACTCTTGCATCACAAGCTGGTGAGGGAAAGCCTTTCCAAGAGCTAATATGGTGGCCTTCCCAGTGTTGACCTGCTTTGTCACACCTTTCAAAATGCCTTCCTCTCCCATATTTCTTCTTTTGGTGGATCAGATATGCATATAGTTTTCCTTTGGACTGAATGTTATCCAGAGTCATATGTATATATAGTCTCCCATGTATGTCTAATTAATCATGATAAATTGCTTGGGGAGTTCTGGTGTGACAAGTTTATAATGGGTGAGACATAAAGTGTGCAACTATTATTATAGATATAAAATGTGAATTAGTTGTGAGGTAAGTCGTTCATGGAGATCGTATTATTAGTCGTTGGGAAGAGGTTGGGATTTGATTTTCATCTCTAATTACATAAAATTTGAAACCACTGCAGTTAAAGTCAATGCTTGCCCTTGCAGTTGCACCTTCTCTTGCATGTCCTTTCAGCACAGACGTGTTACGTGTAACTAAATAGTTTGTTCCCTTTATCTCACCTCTACTTTTTAAGCAAATTTTTAACCCATCAATTATAAAACGGAGAACATGAACATTTTGCATCAGCTGTGTATAGCATTGAAATACGCCTTGAGAATTTTTTTTTTAAAAAATAATTTCTAGGAATATGATGGGAAAATTTCTTTTCTGTGTAAGTTGATAAGTCATTAAAAGGTGTTTGGTAGACCAAATTTTTTCCTGAAATGTTGAGTTAATTATATTGATATTGTGTATTAATTTTTTCACCATATGGGAAAAAACAATTTCACCCCTTGAATGGTAATCTTCTTCAACCATTTTACATAGAAAAATAAATGATGAGAAACAAATTTTTCCAGCCATATTTTTACTTCACCTTCTACTAAACATAGACAAATAATTTTCCGCACCTCATTTTTTCTTGAAAATTTTATTTTCATCTCCTACCAAACATCGAACAAGCTAAATAGGATTTTGTTAGCCCAAACAATTTCATTGGGCTTATAAATGGGCCCATTCATTTGGGTTCTCCAAACTGGGCCAACTTGTACAATATCATTCATTTCCATTTCCATTTCCATTCCAAAGTAACACATTGAATTTTCCGATCAAGAAAATGCTGAGAAATCTCCGATCCCGGCGAAACCATCGTTACGGTGTCTTCTTATGCGCCGTCGTTTCAGCCATTCTTCTATTGGTCTCGGTGTCGCTCCTCCACAGTCGCATATCTTACTCTCACCCTCGCTTTCCCTCGCATGAGGTGAACTACAACTCTCTCCTCTCCGATTCCGTGAACGACGACGCAACCGGCGGAGAGGACACCATCGACGCGCTTGACGTGGTGGGGGAACAACCTCCGGATACGACGGACGTGGAAGAAGACGATGAGCCGTTGGATCAGATCAAGGTTTCTGGGTATTTCTTCTACCATATAGGTGGTGTGATTCGGAGAGCATTCAGCAAGGGTTCGGTAGAGGATTGGGATGAAGATGGGTTCTTTTTGGGATCGAGGGTGGTGGAGGAAGATCGGAGCAAGGCGGCGTTTGGCTCCGACGATGTGCCGGTGGACGAGCGCGTGAGGATGAAGGTGATTAAGGTGAGGGGGGTAGAGGATGCGCTGTTGTTGAAGATGGGTAGGAGGGTATCGCCTTTAAGGGAAGGTTGGGGTGATTGGTTCGATAAAAAAGGTGACTTTTTGAGGAAGGATAAGATGTTGAGGTCCAATTTGGAGTTGTTGAATCCGTTGCGTAATCCCATTCTGCAGGACCCTGATGGTGTTGGTTTCACTGGGTTAACCAGAGGTGATAAAATTTTGCACAAGTCACTCTTAAATGACTTTAAGAGAGTCCCATTTCCTGCTAGGAAGAAGACTCAGGACACCAATTAGGTTCCAAAGTGTTGGGGATGAGTGCTTTTTGTTTTAGGAACAAGCAAAATCAATTTTGGTGAGCATTTCATATTTAATTGCAATGGTGATGATGTGCTGTTTTGGATACTTTGTCTTAGATATTGTTGAATCGGGTTTATTATCATCTATGAGAGGAGTATGCTACACTAAATCCCGACATTGGGAATTATGTGTCGTCGAAGCTGTATAAGTTGTTGCAGATTAATCAGGATGTTGAACCAGAACAATTCAGTTTGCGTGATTTCTCTCACCTTATGTAAATATGGAGAAATACACTTATGTAAGAGACTTTGAGTTTGTCTGCTGCTGCATCCACAGCTGTAATCACGGCATGATGTGATGACGATAGGCTTGTAAAAATGTTGATACACATGTTGATTTCCAAGTTCCGGGAGTGCAAATTATGGGTTGCTGACAATCGGGACTAAAAGAAGGACATGCCATTGCTTTTGTTCTTCCTATTCTTGTTTTTCTTTTTTTATTTGTTCAATTACATAAACCAATTTTTCAATGGGTTCATTTTTTTGTACCGATAGATAAGTTATTTGTATTGAAATTAAAATGATGTTATTTTGGGGCGAAAATTAAAATGTTTTTGTAATTATAATTTATTCTAGTCTTATAATGGAAATAGATCCTCTCTCGTGTGAAAAAAAAAATATGATATGGTTATGTGTTTAGATCATAACTATACAAAGGTAAATCAATGATTATGATTTCGTAACTACCTATTTTAATATTTTTTCTCTCTCCTCCTTTATTACCTTTGTATGGTTATGATTCTCCACATGATATGTTCATGTGAATTTTCACATGAGAAGATCCAGATCATCCTGTTATAATAGTCTTTATTTTTATAATTTTTTAATCCAAAACAATATTATTTTAAAAGTGAAGGTAGATAATTGTAGAAACATTAAAGTTTTTTTTAATATGCACTCTTATCTAGTGATTTGAGTTTCTCGTACTTCTCATTTTTGGAGGGAATTTATTGATTAGAAACAAAGTGAGTAATTTACTGATTAGAAACGAAGTGAGTGGGCTTTTTTTTATATATATATTTATTTTGGAGAAAAACAAGAAAGGAAAAGAAAAAAACTAAGTAACTAACAGTACACCCTAGGAGCTGTTCTTTCTTCCCATATGTAACTGGGCGGGCTGATTATGCAGGTGTGGGCCTGAACCTAGCAAGATGAATAGGCCCAACTTTGCTTCATAGAGGCTCATTGTGAAACGGGTATTGGGTTTTCTGGATTGGGCCCTTCTAGCCTGCCTAGTATATTATGGTGTCTCTCTCAACCTACCAAGGGAGGGTTTGGTTTGCGTAGATGGAGACAATGATGTCTAACTAACGTAAGCATGAAGAAGCTGGGAATAAACACAAATCCTAGGTCTAATGTACAAGATAAATATTTATATAATTTTCTTTTAAAAAAATTGCATTGAATAAAAATATTAAATTAATGTAGTTAATAAATTAATTGCAGCGATCGTTTCTGTAAACATTCATTGCGCTTTTTTTATTCTGAGAACGCAACTTTTTAATAGAAAAATAATATACTTTCTGTAATGGTTTACAAGGTGCTTGATACATTTTAATAATCATAAATCCAAAGTCTAATGTACAAGATAAAATTTAATTATATAAAAATCATTATAAAAAGTTCTACAGAATAATATGTATGGCTATTGGCTACCTTCATGTAATCAACACATTATAAATGCAGCGATCGTTTCCATCTAAGCTTTCATTGCATGCTTGACATATACAGAGTGCATGCCTGATATATATATATATATATATCAGGACGGCAATGCATGGTGCATGAAGTGAGAATTGAGGTCGTCGAGGCATGAAGTGCATACTTTGCATGCGTGTGAGCAATCACAGATCCTCTTATATATATATATGGACATGCGTTTGGATTTGGGTTAATTAGGACTTCATATTTCCTGGAAAATCATGCTTGCTATGCTGCTGGTGTGAATGTAAGCTAGCTTGTGCCTTTTATTAATCTGCTTCCTTTGTAAATTTGGTTAGGTTAATATTGTGTTTCATTTTTTCAACTTTAGTTCAGTTGTATGATACTCTTTACATAATTTTTTGTATCCAACAGCATTATATTCATAAGCAAATTTCCACTATTTACACAGTACTATGCACAATAAATTTTTGCGATTTTTCCAAAATTCTCGTATATATATGCATAATAGTAATATACACAATAAATAGCCAAAATTCCCTCGCTAATTTCATTCTCGCTACTACTTTCCCTCGCAAATTCCCTCGTAAAATCGTTTGCGAGGGAATTTGCGACGGAAAGTAGTAGCGAGGATGAAATTAGCAACGGAATTTCCATAGCAATTCCCTCGCTATTAGATTTTTTCTAGTAGTGATTCTGTCTATGAACAATAGCATGCACATTAAACTATTGTGTCTATTTTCACTTTTAAGCCAAAAATATGAGAAACATTAATCTCATGGTTTAATGCCTTTTTCCATATTTCCCCTGTGTGAATCGATGCATGTTCTCCCTGTGTGTATTATCTTTCTTTTAATTTTATAATAATATGGATGAAATTATTATGTGCTGCGGTAAACATTATTTATGTTCAGGATGTCAAGTAATGAACAAATGGATACCAAGCCAAAAACTTAAAATACATATGCATATTCCAATATCGATCTTTGAAATTGCAGAGGATTCTGCCAGATGATCCCATTTTTTCAGTATATACCCAAATATTCCCTCTAAATTCAATGCAATGGCTTTGAATGATGCTGTATATTGATAATGAGGCAACCAAACAAGCATACTCTTTGAAGGTATTGGATTTCAAAGAATGATCAAGATTAGAGAATTTGTTTAATATTTTTTCATATATATATGATTATAATTAACCTTAATATATATAATAATGTTTAAAAAATTCTAAATTAAATAATTGAATATTGTGTTATAAAAATCATTATTTTTTAAAAAATAAAAATATTTATTTGAATAGTCACTATTTATTATTACTTATTATTATTTTTATAGGACGAGATTGATTTGCTTTGTAAAACAAGTATCTTTGATATATACACCATTGTTATCTTATACATTTACGCACTAGTTAACTTTTGAATATTCATCATAGGAATATTGCAGGTATTACATATATAGGTCTAAAAGTTGGCTTTATTCACAGCGAAAAAGTTGGAGAGAATATTAAGGGAGCCACTCATATACACTATCCCATCAGCGCACACAACAATTTACGTCGTTGTGCGCTACTAGACATGTAGAAGACCTAGTTAACTCCAGAGCTTATTTTGGCATCTATAACTCAGACTCTATATAACTCCTTGATTTTGAAGGGGGTGAAAATTAAGGATCAATGTCTTAGAATTCACGCATTTACACTATTCCATCACTTCATTAATTAGCTAATGCACACCATAACTCACGTGACATGTAAGAATTGGTGCATGGTAACCCCAGAACTTGTTTCGGCATCTATATATACCTCATCAGACTCCTAAGCCACCTTCAAATGCTGGCCAAAGATATATATATATATATATATATATATATATATATATATATATATATATATATATATAGCATGTTGTTATGACTCTATGAGCACTTACATCATTGTTTGCTTAAAAAAAAGTAGTTATAGAAATAGAATCTAGCCATCCCTAACCTTTTCTTAAAAATCTAGGACACATGGATTCATCTAACTCCCAGGGAGTGGTTGCACAACTATCAAGGCGGGTTCAGACTCGCAAGGCTAGCCGCGAGAACTCTTTAAGGGGAAAGCTTCTAACTTCCCTTGGAACACATGAGATTTTCAGCTCAGAGGTAATTAATTAATTAATTACATATATATTATATATTCTTTCTATATCCTCATATATAGATTCATCTTAATTAGTTAGCTTCTAGCTGATTCGTGCCACATATATATATATATGATGAATTGAATTTCGTCAACATCCTTGAAAGCACGGTTTATGGCTAGCAAAGTGCTCATTAATTTGTAGGAGTTAGCTATGTCACCCACCAGATACGTATCAAGGCATGCACGCGTGCCTTGTTATCAACAATTGAAGCTAAATAATTAAGAGAAATTAATTGCCCATGTAAAAAGTACCCTAATTCTTAAGGTTTGACAAATGTATCAACTATAATCAAGAAAAGAAAAAAAAAGACTAAAATATTGTTCAAGATGACTCATAATAAAGATTATTTAAAGTGAATGCTTCGCAACGCAATGATGTTTTGTATGAATCATAATAATGAGGTTTGTTTTTCTCATGTTGCATGAGAAAATAAATTCTTCCTACACATACTATAAAAAGGTGTGCCACTCATTTTTTTTGTTTTTTGTTTTTTTTTTAAATAGGTGGATCTCACATATGATGTATCTATGACATGAGATTAGAATCTCCTACAACATAAAATTTATTTTCCCCTTAGATAATATATACAACTATGAAGAGCTTATAGGAATAATCAACATTGACGATTACAAGGCAACCTTGCTAAGCAAAATAGCATATACCTTAAATGTGCCATGGATACTCTAGAACCCTTGTTAAAAAAAATATTAATACAAGAGTGCAGAGCTAGCTGGATACATGTAACATGTTATGTTAGATAACGAAACTTTAGTATGCACACAAAAGAAAACAATCATAAAGCATGACAAAATACGACCATTTAATTAATTAATATAGAATGACGTACATATTAATTTTGTCATGAAATACAGGATATCATTTGAGCCACCCAATTTTTTTACGTATAATACACGTGTCTAAGTGTTGTTATCAAATGAATAAATGCTTATCTGGTGAGTTTTTCTTTTTATTATCTAATTGCATAGATGCATTAGTCCAAAGAATTGGTTTTGTTTTGTGGGAAAAAATTTCAGAACTAAAACCATTTTCCATTGCTTTTTTTACAGTGAATATCAATTCTTGCAATTGAAGTACGTATATTACTATCCATTTTGTCATAAATCTCGAACATTTAGCTGGTAAAAGAAGAGCAATGAATGACTTCAAAATATTATTTTATACCCAAATTCAACACACTTCTTTTTTTAAATGTCTCTTTTCTGCGTAAGTTTTGGTTAAGTGTATAACCTACAAATATGTGGATTACAGGACAGAAAAGTAGGCATATTATTATTTCTAGCTATGCAATAGTCAGAATGATGCAAAATAATATATTGTTATTTTTTATTAAAATTTTTTTTTTTTAGAGAAATATATTCCTTTTACTTAGCAGTTTAAATTTTTGGATTGAATTAGTTCTTTGTATGATATCAAAGTCAATCAAATTGGTAATAAGTTTGATTCTAACCGCTTTATTCTCTTATTATATAAATAAATATTATGAAGCTTATTAACATATGTATTTGGGTTTGTACATTATCCATCCTTCAAAGTTAATGAAATAGTACTCTTAAGTGAGGGGGCATGTTAGAGAATAAAAAATTATTAAAATGTAATAAAGTGACCTTCACCTAATTGCTTACATTTTTGGGTTAGATTAGTTATTTACCATCATTATAAATAAAGTATGATTTTATATTAATATTTAAGATTATCATGTAAAATGTATAGCATTTAAAATATTACACTAAAATTTAGTTAAAGCAAGCGACAATATATGATATCCCACTAGATTAAATTGATATAGCTATGGCAACTCTCACAAATATATAATACATTATTGATCAGTATTATTAGTCAAACTCTCGTAGTAGAAGAATATATATACACATCTGCTTCGACAAAACGATTTGATAAATAGAAACCCCACCCCATTTGATTACTTGAAATTGAGCTCACATGGATTTAGTTAATTCCCAAGTAGTTGATATTGATGAACAATTTCCTAGGCCTGTTCAAAGCCGTGAGGTAAGGTTCTTGGTTTGTAATAAGTCTCTAGGGGCAAAACTTCCTGCCTCCATTGGTGCCCATGAAATTTATTCAGCAGAGGTAATTGAACACACGTCTCTATAATTTATAAAGTATGTGACATATATATATATATATATATATATATATATATATATATATATATATATATATATATATATATATATATATATAAATAGTCAAAAAGAGTATGAAAAATATGTAACACTCGTTTATAATTTTTCTTCTTTCAGACATGGAAAGCAGCTTTCACAGAGTTAGTGGCAACTGCTCTTATGTTGTTCACAATGACAACTTCCATAATTGCATGCTTGGACTCACATGAGACCGATCCTAAGCTTCTTGTTCCCTTTGCAGTATTCATCATACTCTTCTTGTTCCTACTTGTGACAGTTCCTCTATCTGGGGGTCATATGGGCCCTGTTATCACATGCATAGCTGCTCTAAAGGGTGTTGTGACTCTTACTCGTGCTCTCATGTACATGTTAGCACAATGCATCGGCTCAATACTTGGTTTCTTTTTACTTAAGTGTGTGATGGATCCAAGGTTAGTAGATACATATTCCTTGGGAGGCTGTGCCATTGGAGGAATAAATTCTGGTTTACCACAGCAACAAGCATTGTTATTGGAATTCACTTGCTCATTTGTGCTACTCTTTGTGGGTATCACATTGGGATTTGACAAGAAAAGGTCAAAGGAAATGGGCTTGCCAATGGTATGCTTTGTGATAGCAGCATCCTTGGCACTAGCAATATTTGTGTCAATGACTGTAACTGGGCGTCCTGGTTATGCAGGTGTGGGCCTTAACCCAGCAAGATGCTTAGGCCCAGCATTGCTTCATAGAGGCTCGCTGTGGAATGGGCATTGGGTTTTCTGGGTTGGGCCCTTCTTGGCCTGCATAATATATTATGGTGTCACTCTCAACTTTCCAAAAGAGGGTTTTAATTGGGTAGATGGGGAATATGATGTCTTAAAGTTGGCTAGGAGTTCTTGCGTGCCTGTTTCTAAAACTGATATTAGAGTAGAAGGCAGTGCAGAGTTTGAAGTCCATGTATGAGAGAGAAAGGAAAGAGGAAACTTCATGACCGTATTGCCACTGTATTCTACTATCACAAACAAATAAAAGTTGGATTAAAAATAACTTCATGGAACGCACGTAAAAAACATGACATTATTTGTACGTTCTACAACAACGTATTAACTTAAATATTAGAGTAAAGCTTTTTTTTTTTATTTCTAACAAAAAAAAATACGGTTTCTATTTTAATCCTTCGTAAAAGAAAATAGCCCCGAAGTCCTTAAAAAATTTAAAGTGAACTCTCACAAATCCAAAAAAGATCCACATTAGCTCGTAAAAAAGAGGGTCTACTTTGAATTTCATAGGAATCAGGCTATTAATTCTTTTTTTTATTTTATAAAAGACTAAATTGATAACAGTGTTTTTGTTAGGGACAAAGGGCATTACTCTAAACATTAAAACATGGCTATTGGTTCTCATCATGAGATTTTAGAACAATATTATTAATTGTTTTTCAAATTTCACAAAGAGAAATTATTATCTCATTTTACACGAGATAATGTTGTTCTCATATCAAAAATTGTGACACTATTTTTCTTTTTTTCTTTTTTTAATAGATGATGAGCCTCATCACATCATGTATATATAGTAGGAGATAACTATCTCCAACAACGTGAAAAAATAGAATCGCTTTCACATACATTTTTTATGAAAGCCATGAATCGTCAGAAGCTATCCTTAATGGGACAGTGGTCTATTTTGAAAATATTACACTTTGTTTCAAACGGTGGTTAGACGTGAGCTATTTGACATGATAAATGTAGCTGTTACAATGGATTAATGTGTTATCCACATATAAAACGATGATAGCTCAGTTAATGCAAGGGAACTGAGCAGGTGAAAGTGAGAGCATATATATTCGATCCCTCCTTAGTAGCATCTTTGAGAGGGATTTAAAGCCTTAATACTGCTATCCGCCCTGAATCGAACTAGTCGCGAAATGACGAACCGATTGGAATATCTAAAAAAAAAAAGTGTTATGCACATATGCGCTCCAACTATTTGTAAAAGCGGCTGAATGAACTCTTCTTTTGCTGATGTTTATTTGATAATTGTTGAAGCATGTTGCCTTGTATTTTTTTCTTAAATTGCTACTGGATAAACTTTAATAAGCGTTTGAAGTTGCTTAGACGATAAGCGTGCTCCCGTGAAAAGAAAGATATTTTGACTCCTTATTAACTTCACATACCCTCATATGCTAGGTTGGTATTTGTGAAAAGTTGAATATGTCCTGTTTTAATTTGTATTATGCGCTTTGATAAGAAGAGAGTAAAGACTTGTTTTATGATAGTGGGGTTTGTAGTTTTCACTTCTTAATATGTTAAGAGAGTTCATAATATGTTGGCATGTTGTATTCATTTCATTGGATTTTTTTTAGTATAAGAATAGAAGGTTTATGGTTGGGTATGGTTGTTTCTTCACGTGCTATAAGCTTTTTAGAATTTGTTGTAAGCCAATTGTTTCTTAGTTCTTTTTTTTTGAAAATCACCTTATACGTGTATGTAGCAACTCTTAAGGCTTCATGAGTTTCCTTTTGGTGATTTGACCAAATTTTTTGGGGATGGAATGATAACTTTTAAGGAGTTTGGAGGATATTTATTTGGTGAAATAATCTCATTTCTTAGTAAAATATCATCTTTGCTTTTCATTGATATGGTTTATTGGTTAACTCACTAAACCACCACGACATTTTTTCCCTTTACCCCATGGTAAATTTTTGGTTTATGTTGGTTTAACCCCAAGTGCTTCTCTGTTGTTCGCCCTGACGAGTTCCATTATTGCATGCTTGGACTCACATGAGGTCAATCCTAAATTTGTTATTCCCTTTGCAGTCTTCATCATAGCCTTCTTAATTGTTCCTAATTGTAACTGTTCCTCTCTCTGGGGGTCACATAAGCCCTGTTTTCACATTCATAGCCGCTTTAAAGGATGTTGTGACACTTGCTCGTGCTGTCATTTACGTGTTAGCACAATGCATTGGCTCAATAATTGGTTTCTTTATACTTATGTGATGGAGCCAATAATAGCATTTACATATTCCCTGAGAGGTTGTGCCATTATTGGAGGAATAAATTGTGGTATAGCACAGCAAGATGCCTTGTTATTGGAATTTTCTTGTAACATTTGTTGTACTCTTTGTGGGTCTAACGTTGGCATTTGACCATAAAAGGTCAAAGGATCTGGGGCTTCCAATGGTGTGCTTGGTGGTTGCATTTAGAGCCGGCAAAAAAGACTCAGCTTGGCGGGCCAACCCGCTAAACGGGGTGGGCGGGCTGAGTTTTTCAACCCAATTCAAAAGCGGGGCGGGACAGACTCATTTTTTGGCAGATATAGACGGACCGAGACAGGTCAGTGTAAAATAGGTTCGGACTGGCGGGCCAACCCGCCCAACCCGACAAACGGGACGGGGCGGGCTGGCTCATTTTTTGACAGGTTGATGGCGGAGTGGGACCGCCCCACCCACTTTGCCACCTCTAATTGCAGCATCCATGTAGTGTTTGTGTCAATATCTGTAACTGGGCGGGCTGGTTATGCAGGTGTGGGCCTGAACCCAGCAAGATGCTTAGGCCCAGCATTGCTTCATGGAGGCTCACTGTGGAACGGGCATTGGGTTTTCTGGTTTGGGCCTTTCTTGGCCTGCATAATATATTATGGTATCTCTATCAACCTACCAAAGGAGGGTTTGGTTTGGGTAGATGGAGAATATGATATCTCAAGGATTGCTTTTGGGTTCTTGCATGACTGTCTCTAAATATGGGAAAAAGTTAACATGATCCCGGCTAGGGGTGTAAATGGGCTGGGCTGGGCTGGGCTTTGGCCATCCTAACCCAAGCCTACGTAAAAAAAAAATCTAGCCTATCTGGCCTATTAAAGACTTTATTTGTAGGCCAAGCCCGGCCCATTTTCAAAAATAAGAAAGCCTGACATGGCCTACAGGCCTTGTAGGCTTCCCACAATATATACTAAGCAAAAAAAATAAATTGTATAGAGCAAAAAAAATTTCATTCATCCATGCACTAGTACTTCTCATAAGAAAAAGATAACAAACAAGAAAGAGTCAACATAATACCTCAGCTCTAGAATGTATATCATAGAGGAATAAAGTCAAAGAAATGAGAAAAATAAGAAAAATACAATTACTGGATGCTGAAATAAAGTCTACAAGAGAATGTCATTCATTTAAAAATCTTTAAACCACCATCAAGACAAGGGAAAGAAGAGTATTATTGAAAGATCTTCATCAGTAACATCATAATCCAGCAAGGTACCCATTGCTCCATGGTATTAAGCTGCAACAGCATGTAAAATTTGGAGACATTAGACAAGTTTTTCTTTCATAAAATAAAATAGCACAAAAAGTAAGAGATATTGGTATTTAGTACTTTGTGTCTTTGCCACATAAAATAAATATTATTTTATTATTTTATTTTCATAAATTAAATAGGCCAGCCTACAAGGCTGTAGGCCGGGCTTGACAAAATTGGCCTATGGCCTATTTATTAAAGAAGTTTTTTTATAAGCCTAAGCCTACTCTACTTTTCTGAAAGGCCGAGCCTGGGCTGGGCTTAATGTAGGTCGGGCCGTAAGCTGGGCTGGGCCAGCCTGGCCCATTTACACCCCTAATCCCGGCATATGTTAACTTTCCCTGGCCCACTCACAATCACAAAAAAAAATTTTGATCATTTTATCTCTGTTTTTTCTTTTGTTTTCCTTTTCTACCCTTTACATGTGAGAGGGACCATTTATACATTCTATGAGCCTGGATCATGCAAATATTTCTCATATGTATGATCTTCAATTAGAAGGCAGTGGAGAGTTCATTGTCTAAATATGAAAGGAAAGAGGCAGCTTCATGACTCTATTCCCACTGTATTCAACTTTCAACAGAAAATAAAAGTTTGTATTTCCAATAGATATGGTTGTGCATATTTTTCTTTCCAATTTTTAAATATTCTCTCTTTTAATATGTGCTTTCCTACCATTCTATTTTTTATTTTTCTTTTAACTTTCTTTTTTGGTATACTTTTTTTTTAAAAAAAAACTGATCCTAATTACCTCTTTGAGGCGAATCAGAATTTTCGATATCTCCACAGGTTCAACTCTTTGAGCCGCCTATGAGACTGATCTAGAGTTCGAGTGCAAGTCCAAAGATTACGGTACTTATGCTCCTCCCCAGACGATGTTGGTGAGATTCTTGGTATCCTCTTTTAACTTATTACAGGAGCATGTAAGTAAAGTTAAACAACTCAAAGGTTTTGCACAAAAAAAATTCACTTTTTTTGTACACGTTAGTTAATATACACAAATTAGTGTAAAAAAAAAAGTGAACTTTGATAATTTGTATAACTAAAGAATATGTAAATAACATCCTTCTAATTACTCAAAAAAACATAATATAATTTTCTCTGCGACAACAAAAAAAAAATTGCATTTTTATTAGAGTTTGATTTTTACATACACAAAAATAGGTGAGACTCACTAAGAAGGAGAGAAAAAAAGAAAAAAAATAAGTCTCATTTACTTTTTTATGTGTTGCATGAGATAATTTATCTCATGTAACATGAGAAACACATTTTCTTTCTTTTTAAATGAGTTTCAATTTCCTTTCTTTTGACGTATCATTTTAAAAATGTTAAAAGTGCTACTAGTGTATCTTTGCATAAGATCTAAAAATAACCATAAACAATGGTTTGATAAAGCATGCATTCTAATAAAATAAAGCATCTTTCTCTTTTTGTGTTGCGATCAAACAGCCTGAAAGATGTTTAAAGTACAAGGGGAAGTGACCATCAAAGCCCACCTAGGGGTAATTGAGTACTGATTTTTCCTTCTCCATCGCATTCTATATTTTTCAGATTCATAAAATAGCCACACAGCATTTAAATTTGACAGCTCAAAACACGAATTATGCTAGTAATAATTTACATAAAATAAAACTTTTTATTATGTTTCTCGGTTCTTTTACCCGTCATATACTTAAGACACAGCTATGCTGTTTCACTAGAAGATGGCTGCAGAAGTGTAGAAGATGAGCCTAGAGGCTCATGCACTACAGAATTTGTAGAAACTGATATGGGATTACCCTCCAACTGCAACATGATACTCCCCAGTATTTCAGTTAAAATTTTCTTGAACTCATCTTCTTTGACACTCTTTGCATCGTCTGCATTCATCATCTTAAGGACTTCGCTAATAACCTTATCCATCTGTAAAAATCAAAGGGATTTATTATTCTTATGTTACATAAAAATTTTTTTATCTCCTACACATAAATTTAAGATGGGTTCCACTCTACTTTTTTTTTTCTCTCCCTCTAAAAGTGGACCCCACCTGCATAAATGAGTTTGTGGGAGATATATAATAATTATCTCATGCGGCGTGAGAAAACTATTATCCAAAATCAAATAGGTGAATGTTCAATTAGTGGCTCAGTTAGACGCAACAAGTACTAACTATAAGTCATTATTTAGACACAAGAACCTAAATACTAGCATTGCCTAATGCAAATGGTGACTTTTGAGTTTTAATTGACTTATCATAAATCAGATTACTCCCGGATCAATTATAAACGCTTGAAAGAAATTATAACACTTTTAAGAGAGACTGTGACAACCAAAACTTCTCAAATATAATTTGAGCATGGTTTAGTACTTTTATCTCAAAATGCTATCTAGCTATCATCTTAAATAGGAGTTAAAGCAACTAAACATAGATGAATCCAAAATAATTATGAAACTGAAGATGAATTGAGTGTATGTGTTGACAACATACCTCTTGAATTGCACCAACTGGAGGTAAACCAGCAGATGGAGCCACCACGTCCAGAGCCACCCTTAGATACTCCTTTGACATTTTCCCATTTCGATCTCTAGGCAAATTCTCAATAGCTGAGTTCAAAGTCTGCATCCCATGATAGATTGGTGAATTCCATTTAAAGTAGGTTTCACAAAAGTAAAGAACAAGAAAGATATTTCAAGGAGTGACAAGTAAAATAAACCTTGTCTAATTCAAACTTGTTGGATAATAATCTCTTAACACCAGTTCCATCAAAGGTGCTTTCACTGTGAGCAACTATAACAGGTTGCTCCTTAAGACGATCAGCCACACTCAATGCCACTTTCTTAAATTCCTCCAAAAATGTCTCCTGAGAAACAGGCTTATCCAAATCAGAGCCATCTTGAGATAGCATTGCTGGTTCCACAATGTTGTTTAAAACCTAAACAAAGAAAGGTAAGACCAAGAAAGAAAGTAGAAAATGAGCTTTTTTTTTAGAAACAAACAAAAATTTGTTTTAATCATGTTTGAATTTCTCAATATCTTTTTTGAAAACACAAGTTACATCTTTAAAGAAAGTCAAGAATATTAATTCGTATCAATTGGCTACCCAAGAATCTGATGTAGGAGGAATCCCTTGATCAACAGAGAGTTTGCCCAGAGCTTCAATTATATGATCATGAAGTGATCCATGATCAGGGGATTCAATCAGAGAGAATATGGATGCCATTTCTGATTCATAACTTGGACCATTAACAAACTCAAGAAGATCTTCCCCATCAATGCGAAGTATCACAATTGGGTCTCGCTTCAGTCCAGCAGCCATGCCCAATAGAATGTCAGAGAGAACCTCCTTGAACTCAATCTTGCTTACTTTTTCTTGCTTCCCATGTGTGAATTCATTCAAGACCTATGGAATAAGTTAAACGAAGTGTCAATTCTTTTTTTCATGGTTGATTCAAATATAATGACTAATCAAAAGTCATTCTGACACAAAATATAAATAATCTTATAGGCAAAAAGTGAAAATTGCTAAAGAGAAAAACAATCCACTTAATCATTACTTATCGCGCTTTCATTTGAACACGTCGCGTGATTTTAGAATCAATTGCTACTTTTTTTATTTCTTGTGACTAAGGTAGGTTATCCTTTATATAAGCCCATCTTTAGCATATAGTTAGGTAAGCAATTTGTTTTTTCAAAAAGTATGGCACTAAAAGAACACCTTTGCTTGTTCACACAAGAACAATGCCTTCAGAATGCAGCTAGCGGCCACGGCCATGTAATTTATCATTGACTATAGACTATAGTAATAGCATATTGACTTTTTGTAAAGAACCAATTCAACCCAAAAGTTTAAGCTGTTGGGTGAGGCTATGTCAATATGGTTTTATATATCTCAACACGCCCCCTCACACGAGAGCCCACTGAACTTGAAGGGGTGAACAATATTGCACAGGCCCAACTACCTGTGCGAAGAAAGAAATTCCACTAGAAAGAAAGTGGGGGGCGGTGAGGATCGAATCCGATGCACCGAGACTCTGATACCATATAAAGAACCAATTCAACTCAAAAACTTAAGCTTTTGGTGAGGCTACATTAATGGTTTTATATATTTCAACACTTTTTTGTACCCTAAAGTCTTAACTCAACTTTCTACTAGCAATTTCTGGCTTTTAATCATTAGTTTTAAATCCAAGTATAGTTTATATTTTAAACAGCACAAATCGACATTAGTTTAATATATCTTAAGAGCCTTAAAGGTCAAAATGCCTGCCTAAAGTTAGTTTCCACCACATTCTTCAATAGATTCATCCTCTTACGTGGAGATAAGAAAATGGACACAAAAAGTTAAATAGGACAGGGAAATCAATTGCAAGTTTGCAACCAGTCCCACAGGACCGACCAATTTGAACTAAGTTATCATAGATCCATAGGATGCTTCTTGAACCAGGTAGAAGTCAAAATTTTGAGAAAAACCTCTTCTATAATGCCCCGAAAAAGATATTACAAGATTTTTTTTTTCAAATATATAAAGCCTTAATTAAAAAAACCAGTTTAGGTCTTCTTCTCCATCAACATCTGAACATTAAACACACATAAGATTTTGCAAATGCGCCAAAGATACAGAGAGAGAGGTTTTTTGTTCTTTCCCAAGCCAAAACAAAGCTTAAACCACAAACAAACAATATTTTAATAAAAGAAACAAGAGACATCGGAACCGAAACAAATATGATTAAGATACTGACATCACAATGATGATAAATTAATTATTTTCCATTGGACATAATAATAATTTATTAAAAGTATGAAAACATTAGAATTAGGAGAGAAAAAAACATATACACCGCCTTCTCTTCTTAATTAGCAAGTCGGTTTAATACCCGTAGCAACATATTTGTCTTCCGGTCTTTCTCAGAGCATTGAGAAGAATGTTATCTTCTTATATAGTTCTTATTTAGCTGAAATTGGTGATATTTTAATGGTGCTGTGAAAATTGAAATATATATATATATATATATATATAAGATTATGAGTTTATTACAATAACAACTTTTTATGTCAAGAACATTTTTCTTTCTCTGTCAAATATGGCACAATCCAAGGAAATTAATCAAACCAAGAGACATAACTTTCATATTCAAGTCACCGACCTCACAGCATTGGCAAAATCCCAGTTCAGTTTTAGGCACATAAACACCAAATGAATAGAAAAGTTACTACTTTAACTAACAAAGATAATAATAATAATAATAATAATAAAAGTAAAGAAAAGAAAAGAAAAAAAAAAACAACAATAATAGAGAGTGAGAGAGAAGGGTTGAGAAAAAAGAGTAGAAATTTTAAGGAACCTCAGAATAGATGTGATCAGAATCAGGATTAGTGCCGTGAGCAGGTAAACCAAGAGCAGCACCAATATCAGAAACCGCAGGTTGAAGTTCCTTCACAGAGAGTTTGCCATCTCTGTCCTTATCCAACTCATGAAACTTATGGTCCACGAAGCTGCTGAAAACTTCCTCGTTTCCAACCAACTCCATAATATTGGAACCATCTAGAACCTGTCCGTTTCCACCACTTCTATTCCCTGAACTTGAACTTGTCTCCATTCTCTGCTTCCTTCAACTTGGTGTGCCCTTTTCTTGTGACTCCTGTGACCCTTTCTTTTCCTTGCTTCTCTCGTGAGTCTCACACCGGCTAAAGTAGTGACTACTTCAGAACATAACTTGACATTAGTGTTTTTTCCTTTATGTAATCTTTGTCTGTGTCTCTCTATGACTTTGTGTACATCAACTATTCAACTTTTCAACTATCAACTACTTAGTTTCATATACGACTTCTCTTCTCCAATCCTCCTCATTGGCCTTTATTTTTTTATTATCTATCACTGCCTAAATTTTATTATTTTTTATTTTAATATTTTAATAAATAAGAATAAGGAATTACGACATCTAAATACATTTTAATATTGATATTTATTTTTTTATATTAGAGCAGCACTCACTTGAATCAAAGATAGAGAAGGTAATTAACTTGATAAATAATTAAATTCTAATATTAACATCATATTTAAGTGTTAAAATTTTGAACGTGTTAATTGAATAACAATCACGTCAACAATTAATTTTATAACTATAATAATTAATATAAATATATTAAGAATATAATACTTGTTAAGACTTTATTTTATAAATTCTTCACGTAAACCTTACGTAGTTATTAAACATATTTAAAGATTTAAATAATCCAACTAGGGGGGTTTTATGAGAATAAATCATTTATAATTTCTTGTGTGTAGAGAAAAGATCCAGGCCTCATCGTGTGAAGTGTGTAGTGTGAAGTGTGAACCGAGAAACACCCATGGTCCCAAAAAAGAAATATATAAGAGAAAAGGAGCAATCATACATGTGCTGAAAACTGAGATCATGGTTGGTTGGCAGACACTAACTTTTTCTATTTCCTACTTTATTATAGCTTGCTTGATTTAACGGAAATATTATTCTCATGACATAATTATTTCATATTTTTTTATTTCAACAATCTTATCTATTTTTGTTAATGGTGAATTTATTTAATTTCTTTATATAACATGAAAGAATTACTCTTGTGCAAGATGAGAATCAGAATAGTATTTTCTTTGATTTTTTTTATACAAGTATTTCTTTTGATTTAAATTACGTTTGATTATTTATTTTGTTTTATTTTTTTAATTAAACTAATGTGTAAAAATTTTAGTAATTAAGTAATTTTTAAAATATAAAATATAAAAATTATAGAACTTTTAAAAAAACCAAAAAATATATATAACCATATATATTTCTTAAAAAGTTTATCCAAAATCATTCTAATTCTTGCCCCTTTTTTTACAATTGAGGCGATGATAATTGATTTTAAATATTACAAACCTGTTTTAAAGCACAAAATATGGTTATAAGAATTAATTACAAATACATAATATTGAATTTCATACAGTTTAATTTTGTAACTTTTTAGTGAATATTTTAAATAGAAAAACTTGTTGACATTAATTCTTTTAAAACTAATTTTTAACATCAATTATCTTAAAATTAACCATTATAAAAGTTAAACCAAATATATATTTTTTTTAATAAATCTCAGATATCCTTCGTAGGAGGCAATCTTATTCATGCTAGAAACATCAATATCATGATGGGGCTAACTTCGAGAATTTTTTATATTCGGAAGGACTTAAACCCAAAATCTTATTTAAACAGAATCAAACAATAGTATAATAATTAAGGACATTTTCAATTAAAATATTCAATGTCTTAGAAATTAGTATAATGACTAAGAACGTTTTCTGCTTATATTTTTAATGATGCAAATATATTATCAGAAAAAATTTATGCAGTTAATGCAGATAAATTGTCTGTATTTACTTCCAAAACGACATCGTTATATAAATCTGTAATAACTCTGAAATAAATTAAAATTACAAAAATACCAAGATTTTCGTCCCAAAATGACGTTGTATTGGACTTACTGCAGATAACTTATCTGTCATAACGGCAGAAAAAATGAACCTGTATATTAAAAACAATATAGTTATATAAATCTGTTTTAAGATAATTTGTTCCTTGAGTTTTAATCTTAATATCTTTACTTCGGAACTTATATATTTACAAATTATTAAAAGTTATAAACACATTATCAAATTTTTAATTAAAAATTCTATCTCTTTGTATTATTCTCTCTCTTTAATGATATCTGATTTTATCCAATATATACGACTACAACGTACATATGTATTGAGTTTAATATATTTTTAGTTAGAACTTTATAATTTATATATATTATAGGATTATAAGACAAGAGTGAGAAGACTTGCCCCACTACCAGTCTACCAATTACTTATGACAAGAAACAAACAAGTCCTTATATGAGTTAAGAATAGTCAGTAAAGTAGTGACCACTAATCTATATGTGGCTGGGACACGTGGGGCGGTTGCAGATCCTATATTCGATGGGTATTTGGGTTGCTCTCTCTGATTAGTGCCAACAGACCACTAAAGTCCAAATTTCATTTTACTTAGGTTGGCCCGTATCTGCTCCACTTTCACCTGTTTTGGTTACGTTTCCTTCCCAAATTGAAGTTGCGTGTCTATGCATACATTGTTGGAACCAAGAAGATTCCCTTTCAATCTCAGTACATTTTTTTTTTTTTTTTTAAATCCCAATCAATCTAATTGTATAATCATTGTACTAAAAATAAATAAATAAATAATTGTATAATCATCGGATTAGATGAGTTTGAACAATGGATTGTTTAACTTCAATAAATATGGTTTCCATTTTTTATTTTATTGTTGTATATATTATAGTATAATATAAAATTTGTACGACTTTACCCCAGAAAGTGACCTAATAAATATTTTTTTATATAATCTGGAGCTACCTTCATTCAACCTCTTTCGATCACTTTATTTTCGGAGTACGGCCCGAAGACTAGTTCTTCATTGAAACAATGAGTGCATTGAGTTTCGCTATCGAAGGAAGGATGAGACTAATCTCTCCTTCGAAGACAGAAGCACGTCCTCTGGACCCTAAATTTTTTTCAAAAATTTGCTTGAGACAAGATTTGAAAACCTTGACTCAAGCAAATCCTTAGAAGCTTAGTTACCAACTAAGCTACTCTTGGGGTAATAAATACTTTTAAATTGCATTTAGAATCATCAAGTTTACAAAAAATCATTGTAAGAAACTATATTAAATTTGTTTCCACAAAAAAAATTAAACTATATTTAATTTGATTTAAAATCAATTTATTTTTACAATACAATAAAAGTGAATCAAATTGATTTTATATCAATGTTTTTAATTTTTATTTTTTATAAGATGAATAAATTATTTAATTAAAACAAAAAATTAAATCCAGCTAAACTCAATTAAAAAACTTTTTTTTTTCGTTCACGAACAAGATTTAATAAAAGTAAAATCAAGTCAATTTCTATTTACCAAAAAAAATAAAGTCAATTTCTACTTTATAATTTAAAAGTTATATATAAATCAATTTCTATACTTGTTGGTCTAGAGGCGTAGGTGGAACAATAATTCTGAGAAAGTTAGTTTGAGTTGGGAGCAATATTGTCAAAATTGAGTTTTTACATAGAAACGGAAGGAAATGGTAGAAACGTAAATCGTAGAAACGTCACAAAACATAAATTTTTTACTACTTAAGGTCAACATACGAAATTACATATATATATGTATATGTGTGTGTAAAAAAAATATCACATAAGTCTCTATTCAAAATTCAATAAATAACTTCATATTTAAAAGATATAAGTCACATTACTATATAAGACATAAATCCAAAAAAACAAAAAGAGTTTAACAACTCTTATAAACAAGTTCCACGACATTAAAAGAATAAAGTTTAACAACTCTTAAATGGAAATACTCGCGTGAGGATTTTTTTTTTAAAATAGCTAGAAGAAGATATTGTGCGTTTGATTTGGAAAAATAGAAATAGGGTTTTATTTTATTTTATTTTATTAAAAATATAAAACTAAAACCAATCATGGGTTAACAGTTAACCTGGTTTGATTTTTTGGTTTAAGTAAAAACATAAAAACTTGTGATTCTACCATTTTTACACGTAGTTTTTACCAGTTTTTACTTGCGTTTTAAGATGTATCACCTTAGTAAAAACATAAGTTTTTACATTTTTACACTAGTTTTTAACAACAATGGTTGGGAGCATACTTTGAATGATATAAAAAAGATCTTAATAAGATAAATTGATTTAAAATGAGCTTAGATTTTTGATATGCCTCCAGCATATATAGTTTTCTAAGTTAAAAAGAACAAGGATTTAATCCACTTTGAAAGAAAAATGCTTAAATTTGTTATAAAGTTGATAAACTATGCTCAATTCTTCTCTCACTGAATTTCTGTGCTTTTTGTAGGACAAAGTACTAGAAAAGAACGTGTTTTAAGCACTAGAGAAAGCTGAAGACAGTGCTGCCACGCTACAAGCGCGAGATCCGCACTAGTAGCGTGGAAAAATTTTCACAATGCAAAGTGACGCACTACAAGCGCGAGATCCGCGCTAGTAGCGCGGGAAGCACATGACCAATTTTTAAAAGAGATCCAATCACAGTTTAAGGAGGATTCTACCTCAAAGATTTTGATCAAGATTTGGATATATTTGACATTAAGATATAAAAAGGGGAGGAAAACCTTGATTGGTCATCTTTGGCAGAGAGAATTGTGAGAATAAGAGAATTGAGAGAATTCTTGGAGGCTCACGCTGAAGATTAGGATTCCGAAGAATTTAAAGATTGAAGACCATTGATTCTTATTCTTCATTTTTTTCTTTTCTTTCTTTATTATGAATTCTTTTTATTTTGAATTGCTAAAGTTAGATATGTCTGGCTAATTTCTCTTTGTAGTTGGGATCACGGATCCAATGTGAATCTTTTATATGTTTTAAATTGTTTTTATAATTAATTTAATTTATTTAGTTTTATTCTACTTGTGTTAATTCTTCCACATCCTTTCTAGAATTGATAGCTCTATTATAGGGCTTTGAGGATTAAAGCTCACAATAGGAATATTGAGGTTTTAATCTTGACAAGGGTAGAATAACAATCCGTGCATGATCTAGACATAAGCTTACTAGATTGCAGACTTTTAAATTCATTTGCTTAATACTTAATTCAAGAGAAATTACTAGGACACTAGGATTCTAATTGGGTTAAAGGATTGAATACACTAAGACATTAGGGTTCAACTATTTAATAAGAAAATAAATTGTCTGAGCTAATAAATTAGTTAGTTATAAAATTCAATTTAGGAACATAAAGGAGGATCGGAGATGAAGTGTATTCTACCTGCAGTTCTTTTACAAATTCAATTATCACATTTTCTTTGACGTTCTTGATAATTATTGAATGCATTTGATTCTTATTGTCTTTAATTTTATGTTAACAAAATTTTCACAATCAAACCGAGTTTTCCCAAATTAAGGGGAAAAGTTAAATTAGTAGTTGGTGCATTAATTCTTGAGGGAACGATCTTTACTTATCACTTTTATTACATGAAACGAACGGTATACTTGCTGATTTCGCAACAATTTAACTGATTTAGCAAAATGTATATTATATTGGGGGTATCTTTTTGTCAGGAGGGTCTGGGGGAAGCCCGTGGTAGGGGACCACCACCAATGAGCTAAGTAGACCAAATACATCAAATGGATCCGACATCACATCTTAACCCAAAATCTTAAGGCATTGGGTTCGTGGGTCCATCCACTTATATTCACTTCACTTAGCCCATTACCAATCAATGTGGGACTCATCATACTTGAATACTCTAACAATCTCCCCCTCAAAGTGTGAAAACTCACCATTGATATGCTCCCCTTCAACTGATTACCCCAGGGCTCGGGTACTAAACCCACCTTCTAGCTAATCACCAGGCTAGCTCTGATACCAAATGTTAGAAATCGACAATCACACAAATCGCAAACGAAAAGAGAAAAAGAGAGAGAATAGACACAATGGTTTACCTTGGTTCACCCAATTTAGGTTACGTCCAGCTTGTCTGCATTATATTCACCTCACCGCCACTCGTTACAAGTCACTCGATTTACAAGGAGAATATAAATAGGATTAGAAAAAAAAACCCTAACAACAGCTATTCATGAGCCTAATAAGAAAAGAAAAATTTACAATAAATCAGAGGCCCACGAAAGTACATACACTCTAAGGGCCTGGGGGCGCTGCCCCACGAACCTCGGCCCTCTCACTTGGGAGCGGGACTCCATTTGCCCTTCTGCTGACCCCAACAACAATAGTCCTCATCAGCAATCGAAGTATTAGTCATACCCAATACTTTTGACTCTGATGTAAGATTTAAACGTCTTGTTCTCTATCCTAACCGTTGATTTCGATCCATCTAATGGTTATAGTTTATTGAGTTATATTAACTAATTAATTATTAATTTCAAATAAATAGTAACCACTAAATGGACAAAATCAACAGTTGAGATGAGGAGCATGACTTCTAAGTCTTACCCCCGGAGTCAATCTATTCTCATATTATTATTATCCATAGCTATTGGGTTCTAGCTCATATAGACTCAAATAATCATGTTTTCACCGCTTATATATGAACATATTATTGGACTATATTATTAATATATCCAACAAAAATCAGATAATTATAATTTTGTAAAGAAGTTATAATTGAATAAGTAGTAGAGATGTATATTATTATTATCCATAGTTCTTTTTATATAAAATTAATATTTTCTGTCATTATATATAAACTCACATGAGCTATTCATAAATTTTCAATGTTAAAATTTATAAAGTTCGAATTTAACTTATATATATAATCAAGCTTAAAACCAAGTCCAAGCTTGTTTGTTTAATAAAATAAACAGATTTCGTCGAATGTTTAACACATTAAGTTCAAACTTCAAACAATTCACAAGTAGTTTAATTCATTTACACCAGCACCGTAAATTAATTAAAAGTGAAATGGAAAACCAGAATGAAAGCCCACAAGGAGAGTAGAAAAATGTCGTAGGCATATTCTTTTCAAGTATGGGCCATATATGGGCCCACTGTCTCTGCCACTCGCTGGTTCCAAGATAACAACATTTAATTGAAGAGTAATATAGTTCACATACTTACATTCACATGATATCTAAATATTTGTAAGTCCTACAAAATTAAAACTAAGACAGAACTCAAGTTTTGCCATTTAATTTCTTACGTGTAGACTGTGGCAACTGGCAACCAAAAAGGAGACACGATTTTCACCTTTTAATTCTCAGCTAGCTTATCAGTTTTCAATTAGTGATGAAAAAAAAAAAAAAAAAACTACTAAATTGATTGTATAAATCATAAATACTTTTGTCGTACCTTGAACTTGTGACCCATCTCTCTAGTTTAGCTATTTGGAAGCAATTTCAATTTGGACATCAGAGCCAACTGCATTTGTACGGAAGGGGTCCAATTAATGAAGAGGCTTGTATCTGAGATGACATATAGTTGACAAGCATGCTAGCAATAAATTTTACACTAATCAAATATCAATGAAGGCAACAAGCGCTTGCCATAGACACTCTAAATAGAATCAGCTGAGTTCAGTAATTTTTTGTCTTTTTTGGCTAAGGAATTGTCTTTGGAAATATTATTACAACTTAGCTAACGTAGACAGCAAAATAAGAAATGGCAACTTTGGTTGATTTACTTGGACGGCAATGCTAAAGGATGCAGTAATTTATCACTTAGCACTAGGGTAGTGTTCTATACCGCTACTTACATAGATAGGCAAATTAACTAGATTCTAGAGTTCTTATTTATTAGGTGCCTCCTATAAGTAAAAAGGTTAATCTAATATACACAACTTTTGTTTCGCTAGCCAAAAGTGGTCCAAATCCAGTCAGCCACATGCATTGCAGTTATTCTACATAATGCCTTCTCCTTTTTTGTGAGAATGACCAAGATAGCCCACCTAAGGTTTGAAAGAAAGCAGAGATATTGCTTCCCTTACAGGACAGGCCTAAAATTAGTGGACACCAATTCAGAGAGGTACTCAAAAGAAATGTTGTAGAACTTCCTTTGACTATTGCTGATACATTATGTATCATACATACTAGTATTCTTGTCCAAAATGGTATTTAGGAAGCAAAAACTCTTCAAAGCCAAGGGCTTTGCGAACTCACCAGCCCCAAAGTTCCCTTAACGAATCAAATCTAAGAAGTGGCATTTTGCAAGAGAAAACTGATAGTGTAGTGTTGTTATTATAACACTTAAAAAAAATAGATTCCAATATGCCATTCTTTAGTCAAATCAATCATGCTCTGGTCTTCTTGGCACACACCATGCTGGCTTGCTTTGTACTGGTCAAACGATTGATTACCCTACTTGCGAAGTTATTTATAGACAGTAAGGTACATAGAGAAGCTTTTATCAACTTGTCAAGGAAGGAAGACATCCCATTCCTTAAATGTTGGGAATCTTTCCATCCGTTTTCTTGTCAGGTACACGGTTGTTATTATTGAAGACTTATTGATTGCTAGCAGCTATTTGAAGAATTCCATATCATGGTTTTCAAATTAAAACAGTAAATTTTGAGACTTATGATGTGATTAAATTTCATAGAATGTAATGGCAGCGAGGGAAGCAATGGCACATAACTAATGCTGAGTCTTGAACAGTTGGCCTCTAAAAATTTATACTTGGGACAAGACATTTTTAACTGATGATTCATTGACATAATCTTTGAACATAATCCTACTCATACTGTCTAAGAATATACAAAAATTAGACCCTCATATACAGGGGAGCGGGACCAAAGGCTTTAGCCAGATCCACTTTTAGAAGATGAGATGATTAATGACCCGCTATGGATGCATATCATATTAACTTCAGCACTCAGTCTCTTTCTGGAGCATCACCAGAAGCTCTTCTTGCACTGAGGTTTCCCGTGTATGACCATACCCTCTCAAAATCAGCTGAGGCCAACTTTTCAGCCTTCGAACCTGTTGCCTCCTTTGGAGCATTCCTCTTCGCAGCATGTGTCGTTATTCGTGGACTGCAAGGGCTCCCGGTAACAGGAGAGGAGGAACAGAATGTTGGGGTTGCAAATGGAGAGGCATATGGGGTGTGTTGAATTGAGAAGGGACTGGGAGTCATTCGCTTCTGGATGGGAAGACCACCAAAACCTCCCCTGCTGAACAGAGAGATAGAATCTGCAGCTGCACATCGCTTTATAGTATCATCTACATAAAGGACATCATCAATCCTGGCCATTATGTTAAACGCCAAGCTCTCCATCACCCTTGAATAACTTTCAAGGATAGATTGTCCTACATCCTGCAAGAAAAAATAAAATGACCCAGAAGTTTATTGATTCGATTTTCAAGCCCCTTCTCCCAATCACAATCCTCTATATTAATCATATAACACTTTATTATAAAGCCAGAATCGGTAGCAATGGTTAGTTATACCCATGGTTTCAATTAAATATTGACAGAAATCATACACTGTAATTTGTCCCATTGATATGCTACAATCAATCATCAGTATGGACCATGACATTGGGGACAACACAATTATGTATTTTGCAAAAAAATTATAAAGCACTTAATCTCAGAATATTGTTTATATTCTCTCATTATTTACTTGTGCAAGAAAACTCTAGTAGTTCTTCATACCATTGCCAGGATTATATTTTGGAATGGTTGCTCAAAATTACACGTGCAAACTGGCACTAATAAAAGAATTTCTCATCAGGTCCTCCTGTTGCACCTAAAATATTCCAAATTGCCTCGATACAAACCTTTCGCTAGTTTACTTTAACATATATTCCAACCAGAACTGTTGAGATATATAAAATCATTAATGTAGCCTCACCCAATAGCTTAAGCTTTTGGGTTGAATTGGTTTTTTACAAGATATTCTTTCTAACAAGAACATATTATGATTTCAATCCGAACTAAAAATTTAGAAAATATGTACCTTATTATATTGAATCTTGGCCATATCTAGAGCTGTTTGAGGGAGCCCCGGAAATCTGTGTTTCAAGCTTTGCAGAAGTGTCTCTGCTCGTTGAGCAAGAAAATGGTTCTTCTCGCCGTCAGCAACAAGGCCCTTCACCTTTCCGCCCCAAGACCGCCTGGCTTTCGCTGAATTTAGATGTTTCTTATGGTCCTTCAGCCTCCATACATGCACAGCAGCCTCAATTCTATTAGCCACATCCAGAGTGTGGTGCTCTGACGAAAGATCCAGGCAATCAAGGAGACATTCCAGCGAGAACTGGTCAGCAGTTATGTATCGATAAATTATATCCCCTAGACAAGCTTTTCCATTCTGCATTCGGAGTTGTACAAAAAAACACAAAGGGGTTTAATTCTCCAGCGAATTTTAGCCTATTTTCAAGAACACCTAGCAAATACTAAGATCTTACTGAATTCCAGTTCCACTTTACTACATATTCTACCGAGATATTTTCAGAAAGGCTCACAAAAATTACAAGTTTGTACAGCTCAAAGACGCATTAGAATTGATGTCTGTATAAAGAGACACATGCTATTCACATACTATAAGTTCATAACCAAACCAAGATCAAGAACACAATGCATAGAGAGACATAGCCATAGAAAGCATTACCTTGGGTAAGGATTCTACATAGGCGCCAGGAATTTCCATTTCAGCAAGAACAGAACTATTAATTGCCATGGCAGCCTTTAGTATCTGGTTGGTGCAATCCCTACACTGCTGCAACCTCTTCCTATCATCCTCAGACAAGCCATTTGGAGGAAGCTTGGGAGAGGGAAGCCACCATTTCTCCTCTTGCCTAACCGAAGGTCTACCATAAGCATCACAATCCTTGGAATCACCCAATATTATTCCCCGATCAACATACCAAAACTTGGTATCATGAAACCCATCAAGCATTCCAAGCAGCATTCCATCAAGCTTCTTCAAAGCCGGAAGATTGATGTACAAATCTGAACGAGGACGCGTAGCCATGACTTCATAGGTTCCACCGCCAGGAAACTGTTGCACAGATGGCACAAGCTCAACAATTGAATCACTCACACATAACAGCCATTCCATTTCCCTACGCCACATTGTCTTTTTCTGTGGTGCTAAAGGCTCCAACCTCCATAGTTCCCCAAACACAGTTGCAGAGAGATTCGTTATAGCATTCGAGATTGCAAGCGCAGTGCAAACCCCCTTTCCACCACCTGACATGTCCTCACCAAGAAGCAGCTTAGCAAACCTCTCCTTCATCATTTCCACTTCTGCAAAATGCCAAAAAAAAAAAAAAGGTGTTCAGTTTTTGATAATTGATAACATGAATTGAAAAGATAAATCGATTTTGTGAAGAACAAGAATGAGTACCGGACAAATCGAGGTCGCGCTTTTGATCCCAAACGACGACGTCCTTGCCGCCGATGACCGGAAGCATTACCTGCGCCGCCGGTAATTTAAAGTGACCGGCGGCGACAGGATGAGGAGACAGATTGGCGGAGCTGGAAGCCCCCTCTGCGTCGAAACGTCGACCGCAGAAGCTGCTGCAACTCTCCGATTCGCTGACGTCAGCGCTCAGGCTGTAACTACCGCAACGGTCACTCTGTTGGTCGGAAGCATCTTCGGACGAAACACTACCCATTGTTGTTTCTCACTCAGATCTCACTTACATTTCACCCAATACAGTGTTTGCGTTGCCAACGGTGCTAATTGGGAAAAAGGGAGAAAGTGAACAAGACAAAACACTGTAACCAGCAACGTTCTCTCTTTTGCTCGCTCTTTCACTGCACTCTCTCAGTGATGGTGTAGTGGTGGTGATGATGATCTGATAAGGGCAAAAGCAAAAAAGAGACGCCGTTTGCAGGGACTGTCTTTCCGTGACAGCAGGGTTAAGAACCCGACACGGTCCTTTTCCGTGGGGGCCACTTCCGTATGTTGTATATTAATTCCAGTATGTCTAAGTCTAACGCTCTATGATGTGGAATGCGTTTGTTTAATATTGTTTAGTGTGGGCCAGCTTCGAGTGAGAAAAACCGTTGATCCGGGATCGCTATGGTGGGAAATTCGCACCAAACGGCGGTTAACTGTTCATTGTTATCTGTGTGGGAAAAAAATATTAAGGAATGGCCAATCTCATCTTCAACGACCATTACACTAGTGATGTGCGGTCGTTTTGCATATCTCATCAAGTGTGGGACCCTCTTTATTAAAAGGTTCCACGGAAAAAAAACTTAGCATGGCGCAGACAATTCTGACATCGTGTGGAGCGCAACTGTTGCAATGGCTCGAGGAAATGAATGAGGGATTTTGTTTTATTACATTTGGACTGCATAATGCCGCTGCTATGGTACAGTTCACGAACGTGTTTGGTACAAAACAGGGAAATCAGACACGCGTTGCTTCCTCGAGACAGATATCTTTTTGCGTCATGTAAATACTTTGGAAATCAGAGGGCTGTGAGTGACTTGCTTTTTCATCTACATTCTTATACTCACCGTAGCGGATGATGTCTTAATATTCTTTCTTTATACCTAATTAATACTCTGTTGATTAACTAATTTATCATCCTTCGGTCCGCGAGCACACTCGTGGAATAATAATATACTCCTATAGAAGAATAATTATTATCATTGATCCCAAAAAAGCGGTTAGGCATATGTAACGTTTTTATTTACTATTTAACAATCAAATAGTTCGCACTTCGTTGAAAAATAGTGAATCATAAAAGATCAAGCTTATTTCATAATTGCAGAATGAACACACCGTGGCATTAGTGGATACATGGTTTGGTTTTTATACACACTCTGGATAACTCAGCGTTTTGGTAGAAGAGAAATTTTTTTATATTCGATAATCTTAATTTTTAAAAATATGATTTTTATATTCAATTTTCGATAATATTCAAAAATTTAAAATTTAAAAAAATTCAATTTTCCGAAAATCCTACAAAATGACGCGTACCAAACGCCCCCTAAAAGCGTGGATATTATATAAGTTTAATTTTTAATTTTAGTTTGTGCTTATTTAATTAGGTAATATTTTCCTCCTTTCACATGTCACAACCAATTTTTCTACAGACACATAAAAGTGGGCCATTAATTCTTTTACTTTTCTTTTATTTTAAAAATAGTGGCCCCTATAATTAATTGTCTCTATGACATGATTTAAGAATTTTTCTACAACATAATACTTGTTTTTCCTATTTAATTTCACTATAAAGTGAATAATGGTGAGTATTAAACTCGTGTTCCCATAGTCATAGATCATATGAAGTAACTATCTCATCCAATACCTTAAGCCTATAAGTGATGAGTCTTTAACGATTTTATATTGTATCTCTCTATCATACCCTCTCACATGAGTGAACGAACGTGCATAGACCATGTTAAACATATATAAAACCATTAATATGGCATCACTCACTAGCTTAAACTTTTGGTTGAATTGGTTCTTTACATAGTATCATAGCCTCAGTGTCACAGATTCATTTCAATATTTCTTTCGTCTCTTGTTTCTCTATATGATATCTAGAGCCTAACGAAAAAAACCTTAATCCTCTTATTTTCTCCGCTGAACCCACTATTCATCGCCTTTCCAATTTTTTTTTCCAAATCTTATTTCTTTATCAGTTTCCAGACGTCAATTTTGTTCACGGGTTGTCTCTACGGTGTTGCGGGCCTTTTCTCCTTGCGTAACGTCATTCCTCCACTATTGATCATCGTTCCTCTGCCATTGACCACAGTCGTCAGATGGCTTTTTCAAGTGATCCACCTACCGTTGTGATCGTCTCAGCCATGCAGTCAGGTCTGTCCAAGTCCCATTTGTCCAAGTGTCATCTCCATACAATCACACGCGCACACACGTTGCGCGCGTGGAAGTGATGTGCCTCCTTTCGGTTGACTTGCGCATTGAGGACCTTTTCCGACGTAGCCCGGTTGGGTTTTTCTCTACTCACCGAGGCGGTTCTAGATCTGGTCTTGTTTTGGAGTTTTGACTTAGTTGTTGGTGACGTACAGATCCCACTCCTTCCAATTAGTTTTGTGATCTAACATTTCTGCCTTTTTTGTGATTATGGATTCTACTGCCATCTCTTCTGTTTTTGAGTCTCTGATTGGCCCCAATGGTAGTGGACATAAACCCTCTATGGGATCGACCATCATCGCCATCCACTTTTTTTCTTGTGAAATTTCTTAACACAAATAGGTGAGGTTGTGTATTATCCACTCTCGTGTAAGGGGGCATGCTAGAGATATATAAAATCATTAATATAACATCGCCCACCAGATTAAGCCTTTTGCGTTGAATTGATTCTTTATATCACATCAGAGCCTCGGTGTCATGAATTTATTCTAATATTCCTTTCATCTTTTGTTTCTTTATAAACCCGTTACTAATTTTTATATTATATCTAGATTGATCATTCTTATGGATAAATGTAAAATACGAGTATTATAAAATGAGCTATGACCAATTGTTATTATTACTTTTGAGTTGTAATGATAGGTTGGCACATCAAGCATGCTTAAGCTCATTAAACTAACACATATGACAGGGAAGTTTTGGAGACAAAAACATTACATTCCAAAAGTGAATCATTCGAATTAGACAAAAAAAGTCGGAGGAAGAATTAAAAAAATAAAAAAAGTTGTGATAAGATTATGTAAAAGATAAGAGAAACTTCATTTGTATTTGTAACAACATTATTGTTAAGCTGAACCATATCACACCATCAACTTGATTCTTATTTCCTTTATTTTTCTTTTAACCTTTCTTTTCCTAAACACGCCTTTATCAAAAAAAGAAGAAGTAATACTCGTCCTAATTAAGTAATGAATGATTTCAAAGAGAAAAATCTCCTTCATTGTATTTTGGAAATTAAATAAAAAGTGAATGAAATAGCTTAAGGGGACATTTGGCAGATGAATTTTTTTTTTTCACGATTTCTAAGAATATGTTGAGAAAGTAAATTTCTCAAGAATGTTACCAAAAAAAAATAAAAAAATTGTTTGGTATGTCAAAATATTCTGAGGAATATTAATTTAATTTTTTTAATTCTATATTTGGTTGATTGTCAATGATTCCTTAGAATGTAGTCTGATTTTGCAAAATTAACCTATGATGAATTCTTGAAAAAGTTTTCTGAACGAAAGGTCAAATTGCGGCATTGGAAATCAAACCCAAATTTCCTAAACGAATATAACCGTTCTCAAATCAAATTCATTCTCAAATGAAAGCAACCCCAAATCAAATCGTTCTCATGACTAAGGCTTTAATAAGAAAGGATATTTTAGTGATGGAAAATATTAAAGCATAGTTATTTATATCCTATAAATTAAGTAAAAAATTTCTACCAGATGAAAATCGAAAAATATCACCCATCTAGTTGTATTATTTTATGGAATTCTTATTTATAATTCTCAAGAATCTCATTTTTCCATAAAATTTTAAGAATTCTTTTGTAGCAAACGTGAGTAATCAGGATTCTCAATATGAATTTTATGGGAATCTAAAATTTATCCACCTACCAAACGGTCCGTAAAGATTAAATGATTTTTAAGATATTGCCTAATAGTTTTAATTTTAATCGAATCAATTTTATTTTATTTTTGAATATTGCTTCATTTAATGTTTGAATTACATCCACGAAGCTGTGCGGCCTGTGCCTCACTGGAGTCACTGCCTCAATATAATTTACCATAAAAATATTTATGCAGTTATGCAGATAAGTTATTTGCGTTTACTCTCAAAACGACGAGTCGTTTTAGGATTGAAATATTAAAAAATTATAATTATAAAGACTATAATAACCCTGAAATAAATAAAATTATAAAAATGCTATGATTTTCTTCCCAAAACATTTTCGTATTGGACTTACTGCAGAAAAAACGAACCCATAATTTATTAATAGAAAATTTGTCAAAATAGATCAAACAAATATCATGGGCTGATCCACTTGGCTCTGTACAAGAGGCGAACTTGGGCTAATCCATTTGAAGTGTGAGCAATCCCCCTGTTCACCGGGAAGGCTGTAGAATTTAAGGTTGGGGTAGATTTCAAGCCCTCCCAAGTCCCAACTCATTTCCAATATTAATATTTTACCTTATCAGAAAAAAAAATGACATTTTTGTCATAGCAATAAAAAACAACATTGTTACTAATGAATATTGATGTTTTATATATAAAGTCTTCATTATTATTATGGATTTGTTTTATTGAAATAGTAATGGTGAAATGGATATAATAAATCTTAATTTAATCATAATTTTTACTTATTCTTAGACTGGCACTAAATAAGCCCAATTTAATTCATCTATCCAACAATTGATACGCATAGAAATAATTGTTATTATTTTCTATTAATATCTTTATTTTAAATATTTAATTTCCAATTATATATCTCAATATTAAATATTAAAGCGAATACAAAAAAGATTTTCATAAGAAGTTGATTTCAAAATTAATTAATTAATGAAAAAGGGGAAAGTAACCACCGTGGATTCCATGTGGTTAAGAGAGACGTACTCCTAAAACCAGAAAGGGTCTCCTAATTGCGACAATATACCTACTAAAGACTAAAGAGGGTAACAATATACAAAAAAGAAAGTTGATTATTCTCTACACGCTTTGCTTATTTTCCTCTCTAGTTTTTCATATTCTCACATCATGTCTGTTTGTTGAATATTATAATTTTTGAATGTATACAAAAACAGCCCATCTCTATGATATGGAATTTTCTGTCACTTTAACCATTGATTATTGTCGAATAAATCTTGATATGATGAATGAATCGAGGTTACAAAAGCATGAATATGAACTAGTTTGCATCATTTCATTCTGATAAACTAAAGCAGCAATATGTCAATACATCTGAGAAAATTATTTATTTGAAAAAAAATAATCAATGGGGGCAATTTATTATCATAATGTGCTAGCGATTATGTAGTAATACGAGGAAATTGTAGATGAATTTGCAAAGAATGGGACCAAGTCGGTGGTCCCTACATAGCTAGGTTATTTTGATTGACATGTAATGTGTTTCAGATTCGATTCTCATAAAGGTCTGGTTGTTCTGCCTGCAGCTTTGCCACAGAGGATAGCATCCTTTGGAATTGGATATTCATCCCTTACGGATTCAACTGGTGAATATACTCGTAGATAGAATTGTTCTCCAAGGTACTGTCGTGCCCAAAATTCACTTCTCACGTTCCACATACCCACATTGTCTAGTGCCATATAAATTGCGGTCCATGACTTGGGATATACCTGATATGACACAAAATTTATCATTAAGTTGCTTCTGCTGCATTTGGATAATGATCAACGATCAAAGAGAATATGCACCAACCGAAAACAACAACTAACCTGTGTTGTGCTCCTCGACACTGCATCTCTGAGGTTGTACTGGTTACGACTATTAGGGGTCCACACGCCACCGTCCATTCTGCATTATTAGAAATCCCATGTTGAAAATTAAATGACATGAAGTGATCAAATTAAAAAAATCGATTGAAAATTATATTGTGATGAATTCTTACCCCACAACCCAAAATGAGTATCCGTCAATGTGATAGCTCTGCATGATGTTTTCCTTGTTCTGAAACACGATCTCAACGAAGGCTCGAAAATCAGAACCCATGACGGACGTATCAAGATACATAGGTTTACCAGAAGGGCTATCTGGGATGCTTCCAACTTTGAAAACGCCACCAATCTTGAAGTAATCAGCTAGCTTCAGAGGAGTATCAGCTGGTATGAAGGATACACTATTGAGTGCATATCTCTGCTTGCCATTAACTTGTGCTGCTGAACTCTCCAGCTCGATAGTTCTGCTAATGTTTATGAGACCATAGTGGTAGGAGCCCTGTGGATTTGGCCTCGGTCCACTTGCAGTTAGGTTTGTCCTGTGAATTGCAAATGTTAATTGTTGAACAATGTGGAAGTAATGAAGTAGTTCATTCTGTTAGTAAAATATAATATAAGACCACTGATGTGATCTATGAAGTACCAACACTTCAAAAAACGTGTAGTGTCCGACACTTTTCTCGACACTCATCGACACTCCAATACTTGTTGCAAAGACTCAAAAAAAGGTTCAAAGATTACGTTGCGTTGCATTTTGAGTTCCAACTATTAGATTCGTTAGATTACGATTTTATTGAGATTAATACAAATATTTGGAATATATTACGGCTCTTTGCAAAATTGATGGGTATTATAAGTTTAACTTTATTTTTTTGTTAAATTATTGAATACTAAATATAATATACACTACATAAATTAAAAATATTATATAATATCAAAATGTGTCCTAACGTGTCGAAATTTAACATTTTTTTTTTAAATTAACCTGTCAAAGTGTCGTGTCGTATCGTATCTCGTTCGTGTTCCGTGTCAGTATCGGTGCAACATAGAATGTGATTTTCACTTAAGAACTTAAGTTTTTGGGTTGAATTGATTGCTTATCATGATTTCAGAAACTAACTTTTCACCAAATGGTAGGAGAATTACCTTATTGAACGAGCTTGCTTGATGGACCAATCGATTTGAGTGGTTGGTCCACCGGGAATTGGGCCTGAAACAGGTTGCTGGGAGTTACTGTAGTGAAGGATGGCAGTGCTTGTGAGGATCTTGTTAGTGAAACGAGTGGACACAGCAATGTAGTAGTCCCGGGGTGCTTGATCAGCTGTGATAAGCACGGAATAAGATTGTCCCACATGAACATCTATTGAGGAAAAGGTAGTCTGCATAGTGTGAGTTCCCTCAACTTCGACCAATTTCATGTCATGTCCTTGAATCCTCAAGTTGAGAGTGTTTTGAAGTCCAACATTTGATATTCTAAGCCTATATGTTTTCCCTATTGTCCATTAAGAAATTGTTAAACAAAAGTTAGAATCTAAAATTCAATAAATTTAAACGGGGAAAACAAAAAAAAAGGCATACCTTGTTCAACTGTGAATGTTGTACCGTTTGCACGACCATTGACAAGAACGGCTTGAGGGAATGGAAGTCTGTGTCCAAGATCTAGAATGGTCCTCAGCTTCTGAACTCATATAAACATATGTCAATAAAATGAGGAGCAAAAAGAAAAAGGGGCACACAAGAAACAAACTTTGAGACCAATGAAGCACAATTGCGTTGAGTATGTGTTTGATTACCTTGTGATTGATCTGGTACCAATCTCCAATAAGAAGGGTGAAATCATCAGCTGGTTCTGGGAATGGAACGGGAATCCTTGGCCTGCTAAGGATTTTGATACCCCCAAATCCACCAGCTGCCTTGTGGAATGCAAGAGATGGGAAGTAGAAGAAGCTTCCAATTTGATCTTTGACTTGTAGTGTATAGGTGAAGTTCTTCCCTGGAGGAATGGGGCATGTGGTTCCATAAACTCCATCTTCATAAGAATTTCTTCTTTGCTGAATACCATTCCTGATGCATATGAAAACAAATCAGCAAGACAAGGATTAGGACTTTATGCAAATTTCTATTCAATCTTAATAAATTTCCTATTGAAGTAACAACTAAGGAGCATTTTTCATTGGTTTCAAGGCTAGAGTTAATGCCCATTGACACTGACTAGTCCAAACTCCAAAGGATGGGCCTCACACGTGAAAATTTTTACTCCAATGGGAGAGAATCATGAATTCAAATGTATTTTGGTTAGGTGGGCTTGGAGTTGGGAAGGTTTGGTCCGTGACATCACTTAAGGGCCGAAGTGATCGGTTAAAGCCACATTTATTAAAACCATGTTTTGTTTCCTCCGTCCATCATTGAGAATGAATTGAATAAAAGAATCAAGGTGGCATCTTCTCAATCCCCACCAATGACAGCAAGAAAGAGAAAATACAAGGTTGCTTTGTTGCGGGCCCTCTAATCTAACGTCAATGTAATCAAAGAGAGATACTTCCAATATACAAATTTACCTAAACATATGTCCCGACAACAAGAAAGGTAAAGTAAATACAACATAAAACCTTGCAATATCTAATTCTATCGAAATTAAAATAAAAACAAAAAGACAAAAAGAAGACATATATATTGGAGGCCAAATACAGCCATGCTTTAGTTAAAAGTGCGCCACTTTTGCCAGTTGGAATACGGATTACCATAATAGGAAGTGACCGCGTGATCCATAACTTCCGTGAAAAACATTGTCTTCCTCTATATTTTGTAGAAGTAGGATCCTTTGTCAATAGTATCACATGCTTATAAACGAGAGCCAGAGTGATTGATCTTTTTTTGATCTAATGTATGTTAGATGAGGTAACATATTTAATTAATTTGGATGTACATTTGTAACTTCACTTGTTAATATGATTTAATTAATTATTTGGAACTTGAGAAATCGTTCGTCGTTCTTAAATATTTCGGTTAAGGATATTGAAGATTTTGAAATAAAAGTATTAAACAGATAGAGAGAGAGAGAGAGAGTTGTTACCATGATAGAAGAAACGGCTCGGGCAAGTTATTGTGTACATTTATGATCAAATTGTCATTGGTAACAGAATAGATTTCGGGACCTGGAAATTGGCCATTGATAAGAATGCCCTGCAAAATGGAAATTGTATATACCAAGCAATTAAGCATTGAACACAAAAATATCAGAAAATAATAAATTAAAAGAGCGAAAAGAGAAGTGATTGCTATAACCTGTTGTTTAACTCCGAGGGGATAAATGTCCCCGTAGGTGATTTTCCAGTCAAAGAATCTATAAGGGTCTTCTGCATAAACGCGAACGACGTCCAAAAGCAGCAATATTGAGCAGAAGCTCAGCAAGGCACGTAGTTGTGATGGTTTATAATTCATCAGTTTCATGTTGAGCAGAAACGAGAGCCAAAGCAACAAATGGTTTGGACTTATGTGTTTGACAAAGAAAGAGGAAAAAATAAATTAAATGGAGGAAATGAAAGTGGAGAAAGGGTTAAGAGTTATAGTAACAAGACACACACTTAAAACATATATAAGAAGGGGTGGAGTAGAGGTTGCAACTTGCAAGTCTTTTTGAGGTAAGTAAATATATTAATAATAATAATATGAGTGACAAAAGAAAAGGAGTAGTTGGTAATTATACAAGACACAAGAAAGGAAATCCAAGATGCTTAAAAGACAGAAAAAGCGAAGGAAATTGGTTGTTGGTTGCGTAGTGAGTGAAAGCGGTGGGAAATGAGAATGGAATGAAAGAGGCGGCGAGTGCGTGTAGTAATACAAATACTTAATCCAGTTTGCAATGTGCATTGTTCACGCTGTATGACAGTTTGTTTGGCCGTGATTGCTGACGTGACACGCGCTATCTTCGTCTGTCTAATAAAATCATCTGTCTGATTTTTTCCTAAAACAATGATAAGAATTAATGATAATGCCTTTGTCTCTTCTGGCACATTCTACGTACGCTGTTTTGCTGTTGGGTGTTGCTTGCCTCTTTTGTTAAAAAAATTATAACATAATAACGTGGAAAGATTATAATCATATAACGATGAATTAATTGTTATAATTTTATAATTATTTATTTAAATATTTTTTTTTTCTTTATAAATATCAATCCACCTTTATATAGTTATTATTTCACATATAAATATATGATATTTTTTTCAAAATCCAGATCGCTTATGATTAGAGTTGGAATGGAAGGAATATGAATAGGAACTTGGAAGCTCCATGGAAGCATGCAAAACATAATATATTCACACCGAAAGTTCGATCATTTTGACTGTTTGAAGCCAACCTGGTCGATGCGACTATTTTTTTTAAAAAAATTATTACATTTACTTACACAAAAGAATTAGCGTTCGTACATTCATACGAAATTTTGTAATTGATTTATGTAATATCGTTAGTTAATTTCGAATGAGTCACTTGTGAAGAAAAAATTAACATGCTCCATGCCTATCATTTATTCAGTAGTTCTTTTTTATAATGAAAATTTTTCTTCTATATCTATTCCTTTCTTTTTGATTTTTTCTCTTTCCGTCCTTCCTTTTTTTCTATTTTTGGGAGAGACCACCATGATCCCGCCCCACAAAAATTCTTCTCCACTTGTGAGCTAGCATGACCCAATTGATATGCTTCGACATTGACAAATGACAATTCAATTGAAGCATTTTATTTTTATTTTTATTTCTTTTGTCAAGAGTTAAGACATTCAAATGATAAATCAATTTAAATTATTTTTCCAACATAATTGAAGCGTGTCAGGTGGATCAAAGAATAAAGCTGTCAGCTGACCATACATAAGATTGGTGGCGTATAAAGTATTTCACTTTGGATTTTTCTTTTCTTTTCTTCTATTATTTTTCAATTGACTTTCTTTATGCATGTACATACACATCTATCTACCAATCTCCGAGAGTACGACTACAAATAAATGATGGGCTTAACAATCGACCTTCACTCACTGTGTAGACTTTGTCAGTAATTTAAATGGGTCTTTGGGCTGGTGCTTCAAACTCTTGAGACAGGGCCATTGTCTGTAGAAAGTGCTGGTGTAAAAATCACCCATATTATTTCAAGAGGGTTGTCCACATATAGGCCTCAAAAAATGTGACATCGGGATTTGATGACAAATTCTTTTGGGCCTTTGTAAAAGACCAATACAATAATAGCCTCGCTTAACCTCGAGTCCTACAACCCATGAAAAAGAAGAAAATTGATTTAAGCTTGATATTACTAAAGCTGCTAGTCTGCTATATACATACATACATATATATATATATATATATATATATATATATATATATGAGGTAGGATCCGTTGACACCAGTGTCAAATTTGAAGTTTGACACCTCATCTGAGAGTCGTTAGATCAAAAAAGATCAATGGTGTCACATGCTTATAAATCAGAGTCGTTCATCTTTTTTGATCTAACGACTCTTACATGAAGTGTCAAACTTTAAATTTGTCACCGGTGTCAAAGGATCTTGCCTATATATATATATATATATATATATATATATATATATATATATGGGTTAGGATCATTTTACACCAGTGTAAGTTACACTCTTAATCTTGTCCGTTAATCTCACTTATATCTAAGGGCTCAAATTTTTTAGTAATGTGAGCCATTGGATACAAGTGGATCAATGGTCAAGATTGAGTGTAAGACTTATAACTCTTACACCGGTGTAAGAATATATTGCCTCTATATATATATATATATATATATATATATATATTTATTTTTATTTTTTTGGTAATCGCTAGTCTGCTATATTTACCTTCTTCCTATACAAATTTTTTCTCTCCATAAACATATGTAATTTTCATAAGTGTGCCATCAATATCAACTTTGCTGCGTCATACATTGATCTTGGTTTTACTCCTAATTTAGAAGATCTAAGCAAAAAAGCTAATGAAGTTCTTGATATGAATGGCTGTTGGGATTTAAGTATTTTTCAAACATGCCTGCCGCATGACATCTTAGAGATTGTTAAGGGATTTCTTCCTCCTGCTGAAAATGAAGAACCAGATGTAGAAAGATGGAGTATTGGAGGTCATGGTTCCATAACAGTTAAGGACGCCTACCAGGTTCTTCTGCAGAAAAGAATTCCATTTGCAAATCACAGTATACCAGATCAAGTGTGGAATGCTATTTGGCGTTGGAAGGGTCCAGAAAGAGTGAAGATTTTTATGTGGAAATGTCTTCACCGTAGATTACCAACAAGTGCATGGGCTGCTAAGTGGTCAGAAGCGAATCCAATTTGTTCTAGATGTCTTAGTGCTTATGAGACAGAATTTCATGTGTTAAGAGACTGTGAAGTGGCAAAAGCAGTTTGGTATAAGCTGCTATCACCGAGGAGACTAGCTTCTTTCTTTGATAAGGAATGGGTATACTGGATGTTATCTAACATATGTAACGGTATGAAGGGACCCATTAGCTTGAATTGGGATACAATTTTTCTTCTAACTTGCTGGGAGTTGTGGAACGTAAAAAATGCCGTTTTTCATGGGAAAGAAGGTATTAATGCAGATCTCATTGTTAATAAGGTGCATCGCATGGCTATGGATATTGAACATGCTTTCGGTGTCAACGGAAGTAAAAAGAAAACTGGCATGCTAGTTCAGTTACAAATTGCTTGGCATCCACCAGATCATGGCTGGATAAAATTAAATACAGATGGTGCAGCCAAAGGATCTCCGGGAGTAGCTGCATGTGGGGGTTTATGTAGAGGATCAGATGGTCAATGGCTGGGGGGTTTTGCTTATCATGTGGGCATTGCATCAGCTTTTACAGCAGAGTTATGGGGTATTCTGAAAGGCTTGGAATTTGCTTGGAACAAAGGGTTTAGAAAACTTATAATTGAAAGTGACTCCACTTCAGTGATCACGTTGCTTACCAATAAAGTTAATGATGTCCGAGAGTCTCATATTGTTACTCGCATTCGGACTTGGTTGATTAAAGATTGGGATCTCTAACTTAAACACATCCAACGTGAAGGAAATCAGTGTGCTGATTGGCTTGTCAACCATTTGATTAGTTTCAACCAGAACTCTTTGTATAAGGAGTTTGGTCATGTTCCTCCTGGGCTTAGTTGCTTATTTTTTGCTGATATTTGTGCTGTTTTTAGCTGTAGAAATGTTTACATTGTTTAGTTATTTTTTGAGTTGTTAAGCCCTTTCTTTAAAAAAAAAAAAGAAAAAAAAAAGATGAAAGATATACGAGCATTTGTCTTAGCCGTCTAAAAACTTTTTGTTGCTTTTAGTAAATTATAGATAAAAGGATGCATTTGTTTTCCTTTTAGATTAGTATACAAAGATTTATACATTGGAGTGCCATGAAGATTATTATTATTTTAAGCACATTACGTCCAATGAATTCTTCCTGTTGTAGAGTCATGCATACAATGTTATAGTCACTGTTTTACTTTTTATTGGCGCCAACAATAAAAAAAATAACAAAAATCAAGAGAACGGAAAAAAAATAAATATAAAATAAATAAAGACAATCCAATTACAGTTTTCGGTCCCATCTAATCTATAAACCACGAAATGGATGCGATTCCTTATCCATTCCGAAACCCATTACCACATGTTGAAAGAACCACCACGATACGTTACAAACAGAAGAAGAAGTAGCAGCAGCAGCAAAACAGCAAAACCAGATTAATGGAAGCTGTATTCGTTACCAAACCAACTTCTCACTTCACAACAAAACTCTCTTCCAATCCCAAACACCCATTTCCTTCCCACCAACAATCTTTTCCAATTCTCCACAAAACAACCCACTTCCACTTCGTCTCCGCCGCACTCCAAAGCCAGCATCAAAACCCAACACCCAAAGAAACCGCCGAAGATGAGTCCTACGGCGAAGTCAAGGGAATCATCGGCAGCAGAGCCCTCGACGGCGCCACCGGCATGGAGTACCTCATCGAGTGGAAAGACGGCCACGCTCCTTCCTGGGTTCCCTCCGACTTCATAGCCAAAGACGTCCTCGCCGAGTACGAGACTCCATGGTGGACCGCCGCCAAGAAAGCCGATGACTCCGCCCTCAACCGCCTCATTGAAGCCGCCGACGACCGCGACGTCGACGCCGTAGACGCTGACGGAAGAACCGCGCTCCTCTTCGTCGCCGGACTTGGCTCGGAGCCGTGCGTCCGGCTGCTGGCTGAAGCCGGCGCCAACCTCGACCACCGCGACAACAGCGGCGGCCTGGCGGCGCTTCACATGGCGGCAGGGTATGTGAGACCTGGCGTCGCGAAGCTTCTTTTGGAGCTTGGTGCAGATCCTGAGGTGGAGGATGATCGAGGAAGAACGGCGCTGGATCTGGCGAGGGAGATTCTGAAGGTGACGCCGAAGGGGAATCCAATGCAGTTCTCGCGGAGGATTGGATTGGAGAGTGTGATTAGGGTTTTGGAAGGGGCGGTGTTTGAGTTCGCAGAGGTGGAGGAGATTTTGGAACGTAGGGGGAAGGGTGAGAATTTGGAGTACTTGGTGCGGTGGAAGGATGGCAGTGCCAACGAGTGGGTTAAGGCGAGGTTTGTGGCGGAGGATATGGTCAGGGACTACGAGGCTGGACTTGAGTACGCGGTGGCTGAGGCGGTGGTTGATCGGAGAATTGGTGATGAAGGGAAACAAGAGTTATTGGTAAAGTGGATCGATTTAGAAGAGCCCACATGGGAGCCCGAAGAGAATGTGGATCCTGAACTTATCAAGGTGTTCGAGCAAAGTGTCAATCAGGCCCAACCTGTTATTAATGGGCCTGCAATGGTCGTTTCGGATCAGCCTGGCCCATGAATTTTTATTCGGCCTCACTCTTACGGCAGCACATGATGATTGTTTTATTTCGAATCAAATCCAATACAAATTTTCCTCGATGTTTTTGCGTCTTATTTAATAGTATTATTATTGTCATAAACAAGCTTCAAACTAAAGTCGTTTGCGGAAATTAAAATCCTATCAATATTAGACTATTAGAATTAATAGTTAACCCCTACTTAAAAAATATTTGTAATAGTTAACCCCTATATTAATCTTAATAACACTTGTAACTTTAATATTTTATTTGAGAACTTTCTCTAAAACCATCATGCAATTGGATCTATAAAACTTAGGATTTTATAAGAGTTATGTTGTAGGAAAAATGATTGTGTAATGTTATAGCGATTCGTTTTGCGTGCCGTAATTTACTTATAAATCAAGTCACTACCCTTTTCATGCCACCCCAATTCATAAGCAAAACAGCATTCTAACCTCAAAATCCACTGCCCAAATATTCCCTTTCAGGATATGCCCAAATGGATCTGCACCAAAAAAACAGTTGAGACATTGTAGCCATCTGACTCATACAAGTCCTCAAGCTTATGCGACCATAACAAGTTCTGAAAATCTCTCATTTGTTTCTCTTTCTTGTATTTCAAAAATCAAAGAATTAGGTAGATGTGTAAATGATTTTTACAAGTTCTTGATCAGGACAAAAGTTATGAATGAGTAATATTATGCCCCATGGAGAGTATTTTGCATATACATAGACCTGAGAAGATTTTATCAGCAAAATTCAGACCCACAAATTCACAATGGCTATATTAAATAATATTGAAAATTTAATTCAAGATTTTATCACCCCTAAAAGAAAAAAGAAAAAAAAAAGATTTGAAGATTAAGACTAAGAAGAAAAAAGAGAATACCTGAAAACATAGAGATGGCGGTGGAGAGGCGAGGAGAGAGACAAGGCAAACCAGAGCAGCGGGTAAAGTTGGTCGTGGTCAGAATACTAGGAGGGAGGAGCACGGTGGCTGCTGAATCACACACCTGAAACCAAACTGGTGTGTCACCTGAAACCAAACCGGTGTGTGTTGCCAAGATCTGAAATAAAAAGGGAACAAAAAAAAAATTAACAAAATGCCAAGATCAGTCAAACAAGAAGAAAGGGAAAAAAAAACCCTTAAAGTTTGTGTTGCGAAAGAGGAACGTAACCGGTGGAAGAGAGAACCCGCGATGTCGTCGCCGTCGGTGTGGGTGGGTTGGGGGACCTGGGGTGACTGGTAGTGGTGAGTTTGTGACTGTTGTGAGTGAGTGTGAATGTGTGATCTCAGATTCTCAGTCTGATCCGCGTGCGTGAGCGGTGAGCGTGACTGTTTTTTATTGTATTTTATTTTATTTTTTATTTTTTAAAATAAAGAATAACTCGCGAGCTGGTTCGTTTGAGTCCGAGTTGGCTCGGGACAAGCTGACTCGAGTTGGCAGCTCATTTTTGCCAACCCAACCCGGCTCGTTTTTTACGGGTTACATCGGCTCATTTTTGCCATCTCTAATAGGAACCGACGATGAAAAGGTGGTAAATTGCGTCAGAATAGCATTTTTTGCGAGTGCTTATTAATTTGACGCATCAAATTCACTATATATTTGTTCAAAAAAAAAAAAATTTAGGATTTGATGGAAATTATACTTAAAAAGATATGGATCAAATGAAAAAAAAAACTTTCTATTTTTGAAAAAAATATATACCCATTTGAGTATATCTTATGTACAAAAGAAATTTCCTCATTTTGCATCTTGGTTGTTATTTATTGAGTTATTGAATTTAATGCTGCTGCGTAGGCCCTCGGATTTTGGCTATTTTAATTCTTCAACCAAAAAATAACTCTAGTCCTTTACTTTTACGTGTGTTATATAAGATAAATTGTTTCATGCTATTGGAAAAACAAATGTTCCTAATAAAATGGGGTCAAACTGCATCCTATTCCAACAGTGCCCCTGAAACATCACCTCTAAATGGTCCGAGGTATTGAAAATCATATATGTTGGGCAAAGGGTAAACACGACACAATAAATTCAACTTGTTTTCTACGTTACGAATGGAACAGTGCAGCGTTACGAATGGAACAGTGGTACAGAGCTAAAAAAGTCAGGCATACGAAGAAGGCAACCGTCTACTCTAGTACAAAAATTATGACATACAAATATGCTAAACCTTCTCGTTTGGTGTACCCTTCACCATTCGCTATATAATTTTCTAGTTTACCCTCTTGGATTGGATTAATTTTGAAAGTAAAAGTCATTCGATTCAATTTTTTTGATTTAATTATGCAATTATTTATTTGGTTTGGATTTTTTTTCAAATTCGATCCGATTCAATTCAATTTTATTCAGTTTAGATTAGATCAATTTTTGATTTTTTGAAAAGTCTAAGATTTGTATGATGATTATTGTATAAATAACATGTCTTTTGTATATATCGACTTTGTAAAGTTTATATGATGATTATTCTGCAATCTAAAAACATTGTACAACAAAGAGTTAAATTATCATCTTTTACCTTCAACCAAAAATTTATAATATGATTGCTTGAGATACGAATTACAAAATAATCTAAATTTTCATCTTTTAGCGGAGCACAACAATAATCCGTGTAATAAAAATATATATGTATCTTATAAAAAAAAATGTATAACATAGATAAAGTACAACTTACTTTCTCTAATTTAAAATTTTGCTATAAAATGAAAAGTGCTTTTTTTGTGTTTGACTTTTAAAAAAAAAAAGTAAATCCAAACAAACTCTTAATCCGGTTTGCAACGTACAGTGTTCACGCTGTATGACAGTTTGTTTGGCCGTGATTTCTGACTTGACACGCGCTTTGTCTGTCTAATTTCTTTTGGTAAAATACTGTCTAATTATTTATTTTTTTCCCTAACAAAGATAATCGTACGCGGAATTAATGATAATGCCTTTGTCGCTTCTGGGACATTCTACGGTCGCTGTTTGGCTTTTGGGTGTTGCTTGCCACTTGTGATTAGAGTTGGAATGGAAGCAATATGAATAGGAACTTGGATCATTCATAATAATATATTCGCACGGAAAGTTCGATCATTCATAAAAAATGACCATTTTAATATTAAAACTAATATTTTTTATTTAAAATTTAATAAATTGAATAATAGAATATTTTTGATAAAAGCTTTAAGCAACATTGATTTATTGTTGTTTAGTTTATAACAGCAGATTTCATGCTCCATGCATTGAGGTTCTCCACTGTGATGGACTCAGTACCGTTGTTGAACACAAACAAGTGAGCTTGATTTGTCAATGCTAGCTCTGGATAAATCCTAGACAAGATGTTTGTTTTCCCTCCTGCTCCAAAACTCTCCACTACTGAGTGATCAATCTGCCATTTAGTTGAAAAATCAGAATCATTTAAGTATATATAATTATTGTGGCAACTCATAAATTAATATCATACGTAAACACCAAACGGAGGAGGAAGAGTTGCATTTACACTTACCAAACTCCTAAGAGAAAGTTTCTTAGTAGATAAATCCACATCTACAAAGCCGGCAAATGATGGTTTGTACAATTCACTCTTCAAAGAGGAACTGTTTCAGAAAATGTAGAAAAAAAAATCAACAAAATTAAATAAAAGACATGATGAGAAAAATCAAAATTAGAAATCATCTTATCCCCATTTGAATTATACTAATTACCTCTTCGCATCAGAGCACAAAAGAATCATATGCTTGTTTGGAGCTTTGAAAATTCTGAAGAACACAGGAGTGAACTCCTCCAAATTTTCTGAAGCCAAAGTCAGAAGCCCAAATGGTCCAAGCCCACCTTGAGTTTTTGAACCCTTTAGGGCACATAGATCTTGTGCGTTCACCCAGCTAGGGTCAAATGCCTCTGCCTTATCCAAGCTTGAAAATGAGAAAGTAACTTCCACATCGGCCTGCACTTACATATATAATATCATTAATTTAATTATGTACGTACACATAGATATATATATATATATATATATATATATATATATATATATATATATTATAATAATGCTTAATTAAAAATTAAATTCCTTCTACTTCAACATAACGAGCTTTTTGTTGCATATCTTAACTTCTTTTTGTCTAAGACAATATATATATATATTATAATAATAGGCCATTGTAATTCCTTCTACTTCAACATAATTTCCCTTTTCGAGCTTTTTGTTGCATATCTTAACTTCTTTTTGTCTAAGACAATTTAATTCTTCAATAGGCCATTGTACCAATTGTCTCCCATTAGAATCAAGCCACAAGGTTCTTGGAATTGCCTGTAGATTTTAACATAAAAAAATGCACACGCATATATATATATATATATATATATATATATATATATATATATATATATATATTCCTTTAACGTACACAAGTATTTAAAAAAATGAACTATAACTAGATGCATCATCAATTGAAACAAATCTAATTAAATACATAGTTACTATTTTAATTTTTAACCTGAATTCCTGCCCAGCCTTTCTTGATGTCATCATTATGGGTATCATCTTGGAAATCAGACTCGTTGGCCCAACCCCACAAGATCCTTCTATTCTTGCTTGGGTCAAAAAATGATTTTGAAGCATAGAAGTTACCATAGTCATATCTAAGGCCACCCCAACCATCCTCTGAAGTGTTGTCCGGGATATACTTGTCCTTCTTCGGAAAATAAGTTCCTAATGTGTAATAATCGAATCTAGTCATGTCAAGGCTATTCTTTAAAACATGCTTAACATTATTACCAACCATGGATGTCTCTAACCCTTCTTCCCCCTTCAATGCAACCGGGTAAAAGTCGGGGCACTCCCACATACCCGTGTTTGCTTTGGAATGGATCGGGTGTTTGGCCCGGATCCACTTCACAAAATCCTTGCTCCTATACAAGTAGGACATTCCCCTATCCTTCCTTCTGCTACCAACCAACATCCTCCAATGCCTATCCTTGCTCCACCAAGCGGTTGTCGGGTCACGAAACGCGCTGCCATTCACGCCAGGTTCTGCAACCACAATTGGGTTAAACTGATCGGGTTTTATCCATTTTCTGAGAAGCGGGTCGGATGCATTTTCGGGTATGGCATAGCATTGCACCTGAGTGTTATTCTCGTCGATAATTCCTGTGTAGAGAATCACGGGTCCCTTTTCCGGGAGGATAGTGGCTGACCCGGACCAGCACCCAAATTTGTCAAAGGGTTTGGATGGGTAAATAGCGGGTTCAAGTGCTTTCCAGTTGATAAGATCCTTTGAGACAGAGTGGGCCCACACAATATTACCCCACACAGAACCATTGGGGTTATATTGATAGAACAGGTGGTAGTATCCATTGTAATACATGGGTCCTGTATTGTTTGCATTACCGAATTAATATATAAGATTGTAAAATACAAATATTTGGTGATTGAAATTAAATTAAAAAAAAATAAGAAAAAAAATTCCACTCACCATTTGGATCTGAATATGATTTATGCGTCCATTTCATCAATTTAGGCACCATGAAAAAATTAGAAAGCAAAGTGAGCATTATTGATAATTCTGAGGACACTAATTCCCCGAAGCAAACTAAAACAGTTTGAACAACAATCCACCAACAAATCAAGGAAAACCCGTTTTAAGCAATGTAACCAAGAGTTAAACACAAATTATACCTAAATAATAATGTAGACAATATAGGGCCAACTCTAAAGCAAAATCCACAATGTTGCTAGAGTCATTTTAATTTCACAATAGATTAAGATTATTTGAAAGCAAAACATGGTTTATTAGGTGGAAAAAATACCGGGAGATAAGTTATGACATATTCCATCCCCATTAAGTAGCTGTGGGAAAAAAAAAATTATGCGAGTGAAAAAAATCTGTCGGATGCGAAATTCAGGTGCACACAACATAGAGGGTAAGACAACTTGATATTCAGTTAAGTACCTAATCAGATTCTCTCTCTCTTGTGCGTTTAAAGGAGTAAAAAGCATAAATTGAAGAACGGGATTCTACATTTTCATTTCATTTGATTCCCTTTCACTTTTTTGGACCATTAAACAGAAAAATCCACAAGCTTCATTTTTTCAACACTAAGATCTTATCCATAAAAGCACATATGGAAAAACAGCAAAAAAAAAAAAAACGAAAAAAAACAAATTGTCTATTTACAAAATGACAATTCCTTAAGAGGAAGCATCATTCCTTTAAGGCCACCGTTCAAGCACAAATGGTTAGATCGTAGTAGGCTTGTTATGTCATAATGTATATTTATATGGAAGATACTACTCTCTAAACGCTGTAAATATGGCAAGGTTAAAAATAGTAAAAAAAATTAAGAACGATACCAACCGTTGATCCAATTCCTAGGAGGTTGAAAATGATATCCAGTTCTGTGTTGTTCACTCACGGAAATCGCTGTAAGAGATTGAAGATGAGGGTATACTTTATGAAATGCTTCAGTGCCATTGTTTATCAATATCACACTAAGGGAGAAAACTACTAGAGAGATGGCGAGACACTTTGGGAGAACCATTAGAAAAAAAACAATTACAAGATCAAACAAAAACAACAAGAGAAGAAGATTTGGTAAATTACTTCGTAGAAAATAGAAATATAAACTATGAATAAATAGAGGTGTTGTGGACCTGTACGAGAGACTCATATTCAATAAGAATCAAGAAAGGACAATAGAAAAAGGAAACTAAAAGAAATAAATGAAAGAATCCTTAATTGACACTAATCTTAGTACGATAGCTATGGACCTAGTATGGAAATGCCAATAAAAAGAGAAAATTAAAGAAAATAAAGGAAACAAAATCCTTGATTGATACTAATCCTAATATCATAGCTATAGATCTAATATCGAAATAGCAATTGATAAAGAAAACTAAAAGAAATAAAGAAAAGAATCATTGATTAACATTAATCTTAATATAATAGCTATGGACCTAGTATCAGAATAGAAATAAAAAGAGGACACTAAAGGAAAAAAGAAAATAATCATTAATTCATATTAATCCAAAGCATGGAAAACATAATATGAGTGAGGGTTCACACGGAAAGTTCGATCATAAATGTTGACTGTTTGAAGCCAACCTGGTCGATTTGACTATTTTTTAAAAATTTATTACATTTTTTTTTGGTAGTTAAAATTTATTACATTTACTTACACAAAAGAATTAGCATTCATACATTCAACCAAAATATTGTAACTGATTTATGTAATATCGTCAGTTAATTTCGAATCAGTGACTTGTTTGTGAGCTAGCATGCCCCGATTGATATGCTTCGACATTGACAAATGACAATTCAATTGAAACAAATTCAATTGAAACATTTATTTATTTATTTATTTCTTCTGTCACGAGCTTAGAAGATATATTGGATTGAAATTTTAAAGAATTTTAATGGATTAATTTTTGACAAAAAAATTTACTGCCATTCAATTAGGATTTTAAAAGATTGAAAAAAAGTCATCTGATATTTAATTTGTTTTTTAAAAGATTTTTTTAGAGTCAGTTCAAATCCGTTAGTATTTAATCAGGATTTTAAACAAAGCAAAAACAATCTTAATTATGATATTCAAAAATCTTATGATTTTAATGGATTTTCTATTAGGGTGGATTTCGTCAGACTTTTTAGTATGAAATATAAATATAATGTTTCTCTTACAATCTCACTATAACCTTAAGATTTCTTGAAATTTCTATATTGCAGTGTCTTCTTCTTCCTTTGGTGGATCGACCTGCTCGAAATTGAGTTTCGTCATGGGAGCTTCGTCAGAGATCAAAAATAACATATTTTTGAGCGATTTTCATAACAAAATAACCGATAGACTACAACATAACAAGATTTTAATCTAATTCATCTAAAAAATAGCAGATTTTGAAGCTATTTTTTGAAAATTTTTGAAAGTTTAAAAACGATTTTTCAAGCTATTTGTCATGATTTTTCTTGGTACAAAAATATGTGATTTTTTGTATTAGAAACAACATAAAATAGTGGAAAAACAATAGGTAACAAAAACTGTCAAACCAATTTTCATTTTCGATCAATGAAACAATATCGATCTAAAGAAAGATTGAAACTTCATTATATGAACCCTATGTTTCATAATAATATATTCATGAACGAAATTCCTTCGCTACAGGAAACGATTTCAAACAATTTTGGCGTCAATAAATCATTAAAATCTTGTTTTTCAAAACCCTCAAAGCAATTTAAGATTTCAACGTATCGATTGAAAACAATTTAAGAAATTTTTTAAACTTTCATGTAATAAAATCTAGAAAATTCAGATTCAAAATTTTCTCGGAATACTCAATAATAACATGCATATGATATATGGTTAGAAAACTCTCATCACATAGAATAAAAATCCGAAGATTTACAAGATCAATTGCAAAAAATTATAAACGAAAATTTATCATGAATTTTACTAATTGAGAAAATTATATTACATTTTACTTTTTTTTATTAATATCATTGCATTTCTTTGTTAACTTTTTTATTGACTCTTGTAATTTTGAATGTTTGTTAAAAGGGTTCGCTTTTTCTGCAGTTACTGCAGATAAGTTATCTGCAGTAAGTCCAATACGACGTCGTTTTGGTGCGAAAATCATGGTATTTTTGTAATTTTAATTTATTTCAGAGTTATAATAGTCTCTATATTTATAATTATTTAAGATTTTAATACCAAAATGACGTCCTTTTGGAAATAAATGCAGATAATTTATCTGCAATAACTACAGAAATATTTTTCCCTAGTTAAAAATTCATATGATTTTTTAAAATCTTATAAATTCATATTGTCCTTTCAAATCTTATAAATTATATTAAAATCCTTTAAAATTCAATGTTATGAAATCTTAATGGTAAAAAAAGTCTTTTAAAAAAGTCTTTAAATTCTTTCCAATTCTGAATAATCTTTTAAAATCTATAAGATTTTTTATCTCAATTTTTTTTTTAAAAAATTCTAATCCAATACATCCCGTTAGACATTCAAATGGTAAATCAATTTAAATTATTTTCCATCATAATTGAAGCGTATCAGGTGGATCAAAGAATAAAGCTGTCCATATATAAGCTTCGTGGCGTATAAAATATTTCACTTTGGATTTTCCTTTTCTTCTATTATTTTCAATCGACTTTCTTTTTGCCGGTACTTTTTATAAGTAAAGGCTAAATGCAAAGCATTAAGTCATTAATTATAGAGGAGAAGTATTAAAAAAAAGTTATAGAGGAGAGGAAGAAATTACCACGTAATTATGCTAGAAAATGTGCTAGCGCATTGATGCACTTTTTTTATGGCGTCTTGCATGCGCATCATATCGCCGTGTACAAAGTTGATTCATTTTAGTATATTTTTAATAGAAAATTTTAGAATTTTTTTTTAAAATAATAATAATAATCTTTGTTTGGTTCTTTTCTCACAACTCACAAGACATTACATTTGACATTGTATAAGAAAACAAATAATCCAATAAAATCAATTTAAAATATAAGAAAACTCTCATTAATTCAAATACAAAAGAATTCTTATTAATTTGATATTGAATTAACTTAGAAAATATTAATATGGATAAAAACCCGAATCAATATTGCTTAATATTAATTAATACTGAAAATATTAATATTAATTAATTTTTAAAATAATCTATAAAATTATAAAAACATAATTAATAATATAATAAAATCAATAATATGCGCTTGAATTCTACATGAACCACGAAATTAGACCCCAATTATTATTATTATTATTATTGTTATTATTATTTCGGGGATTGTTAATTATAATTACAATTATCATCTCCATCAACTATCGTATATAACTTCTCTTTGCTTTAATAAGAGTTAGTCATTTGTGATATTTATTGAGTGTTAGGTCAATAAACCTCAAATTCACCCGACCAATCTGTTGAACGCAGTTATGGGAATCTAGTAAAAATAATATTATCAAAACTCTAAGGGTACATGTAACGTAAAATATTAAGTTTTGATAATAATAAAGTATAATATGACTCGACAAGTAAGCTAGAAATGGAAGACAATTTAAAATGCAAGATAACGCAACAAGACACAAATAATGCTACAAAATCAAGGCATGAATATGTAAAAGGCCAAGCAAAACTCAAAAAGAAAAAATCAACCATGAAAAACCAAATGGATTTAACTGCTTCACTACAACAAAAATGTTATTTAGCCACATTTAAAAATGTGGCAAACATTGATAAAAAATGTGGTTAATGAACTTTACCTCATTTTAATTAAATGTGGCTAATAGTGGTGTTGCAATAATTTAACCACATTCTTTTATTCATTTTGCCACATTTTGACTAAGTGTGGTAGCCTTTTTTTAGCCACATTTATTGTTAATTTAGCCACTTTATAAATGTGGTTAAAGTATAGTTTGCCACAATAAACAAAATGTGGTTATTTATGTCTGAAAATAATTTTTTAGCCACATTCATATTCATGATGAATGTGGCTAAATATATGAAGTTTTTTTTTTTAATTAAAAATATTTCAAATTTAATAAATATTATATCAATAAAGAAAATAATATTAAATATTGCCCGTGCAAAATAATGAACACGATAAAACGTAAACCAAACTCTAAACCCTATATCCAATTTTGGATATGTAAGTTTTTTTTATTGATATCATTGAAGAATTTATACAAAAAAAATACATGACTAAATAAAGATAATACCACTAGAAGAAGCAGAAATGTGAACAGAAAATACAAACTCAAGGGTATTGAGACCAAGCAGGGTATAATGAGACCAAGCAGGAGCATTGAATTATTGATGAATGTTAATCATATTCCTAATAAAAAATAGACTATGTCAGAACATTGAATCTTTTTGTAGTATGTAGGTGAAGCATTTTCCTATGCTTACATGTGAGTCAATACTACATAGTTCAACATTTTGGCAAAACTTAGTAGAGGTAATAGCTTAAATGATTTCTGGACAAGAGAATGAGGAAAGAAAAGAGAAGCATATAAAAATGAGTAAGATAAAGCTTTGAGTACTTCTTCAATGATTCTAGAAGGGCTGACAGCTTTGTCCATTGCAAATATTGTCTTCCCCATAGAGTTTTTCCTCCAAAGCCATGGCTTTTGGTTCATGATTTCAGGTACTGCTCAAGAACTAAAAGAGAAAACTTCATGCTATTGCACAATAACTGATGTAAGGAGAACTTCTTTTTCCTACATTAGTTTCTCTATTTGGTCGTAAAAAATTTCAATGAGTAACTCCGAAAAAAAAAAAAAACAGAACCAAAGAAATATGGGTACAGGCTACAGAATCATGAATTTAAAACTAAAACTAATTTCCTTTTTCTAAATAACCAAATTCTAAAATCAAATCAGGAGAAAAGTAGTAGTTTTTCCGCAGTTTCATGTTTGGTGTATAACAAGAAACAAGATGGAACCTGTTGTGAGAAAAGGGACTGAGATGGAACCTGTTGTATTTGTAGAATTCATGATATTAGGGGGGTAAATAATGATTGTGAAAAATAGAAACCCAA